ATTTTTGGTTTTCCTGTTATTTTTAGCTAATTGATAAAAGCATTTTCAAAATGTGACATTTTAGAGGAATGTATTATGGAATAAATAGGTTATTTCTGGTCGGGATTGAATATGGGTTTCATTCCTCGGAAAATATGATATTGACCTTGGGAAATATGATATTGACACTCGGTCGCTGCGCTCCCTCGGTCAATATCATATCACCCTTTGTGTACTAAATTCACTTACGTAAGCCCAGTATCCTAGGGGTAGTCTAAGTCACTCCTCCTTGTGCATTATGAAAAATGGATGAATTATAAACACCGCTCGTCACCTGAAGAATTGGACGTGAAGAATGAAGAATGTTATAGCATGATACATGCCAGAAATGCATTTTACATTGTTTTGAATTGTAAATGCATTTTCTGGTATGTAATCAAGCTATGCTGAACAACAATAAAATGCATTTATCAGAATATATATTTGAAAATACAATGCAGTATTTTTGCATACATTATTTAGAATTGGAACGATGTACCTGTGAAACGGAATGTTATGGAGTCATTCGTGGTTTATGTAGAAAAGAGTAGAAAAGAGTGAAATCAGCAAGGAATAAAGTAAACAGGCATGTAGTTAACACTCTAAATTGTATAAAAATGCTAGAGACTGTTCATTCAAGTATTAGAGAGAAATGAAATAAAAAAAGTGAAATAAGTATGAAAATGAGCAGATTTTATCAAGAGAGGTATCGTTGGAGTTAGTGTTGTATTGAAATGATAAAAATAGGCTGTTTAAAAGAAACAGTATTTTCTTCAGTGAGGTAACTGTGTTTTCAAGTGGGTGTTTGTCTGTTTTTGAAATATCTCAAGTGGGTGAGCACCTAGTTTCAGTTTGATCCAAATAGATTACTGAGAAATGATGTGAAAGAGGGTGGAATTAAGTAATAAATGACTCTTTAACTCCTTCCATATGATTTAACCCTTCCCACTTTGACATGTGTCAATCATAAAACATGATAGAGGAATCATGAAGTGAAATGTAATAACTAGCACTGTTAAAATATCCCTTGATGGATTACAATTTTGTGTTCCCTCAAAAATCCTCACTGTTGGGGGTAGGTAGGCCAGCAAGATTTTCAAAAAGTAAGATCAAATTCTCAGATTCACCCTTGCTTGATTTGGGAAAAGAACTGAGAATACCGGCATGAAGTCAACAATTTCAATTATTTATTCAAATCTAAGATGTAGTAATAGGAAAATTAATAAATATTTGAATATTCAACATTTTTACTCTCTACCTAGACTCCTATGAGATGATGATTATACTTTTTTGAGCATATTTTTGCACTCATTTTGCTGTAACCTATTTATCAAGTAATTATGGCGAGGTATTTTGTTGTGGAATTTTGTCTAATCAAATAATTTGCTCAATTAAGGAATGACACGAGAATCATTTGATAATTGACCTAGCTTTGAATGATTATATTTATAAATAAATAATTTAATTGATTTAATATATTTATGCGTATATATAATATGGGGACATATTATTGTACTCTTATTTTATGTATCAATGGAAAGTGTTCATGTCACACATTTTTGCTGAAAATAGAAAGTAGAGTGGAATTAGCAAGGAAAAAAGTAAACAGGTATGAAACTCAATTGAATAGAAATCTAGGAAAATCAGATATTTTGATTAAATTTTAGAGAGAAATCGAGTGAAATAAGCATGAGCGGACGGATGTTTTCTTTTCAGAAATTTTTGGTAAGTAAAAAAGTTAGGGCAGCCAGTGCAAATGCTATATAATAGTAACACATTATATAAAGAATTTATAAAATCCAAGAGAAAACTGATTGAAAACCTTTGTGAAATGTAAAAAATATAAATATTATTTTGAATAGTCGAACATGACATTGACTTTTTAGAAATATTTAACGGTGCAAAAACTGACATTTCTGAACTTGTATTGTTGTTTTCTAGTACCTGTTGCTCACATAAATACTACAGAATTCTACAACGCAAAACAAACAAAAAATGAATGTTGAAAAAGCGGGTTGGCAATCTCCCAAATCTTTTATAACTTGATGTATGGGATTATAAGGATGAGCCTGCACATGCCCTTTATGTAGCTAAGATACAAATAAATAAATAAGTAAGATATTTGGCAGGGATCCTTAGATCCCCATTTGTCCCAAATTGCTAAAAATAACAAAATTCACTCTGATTATTCCAGGAAATCTTGTATTTCAGAACCACTTGGTAATCAGCAGATCTTAATGGACTCAAATGTTGTATTTTATAAGAATATGAAATGATTCAGGGCTTTTTGTAGAATGTTCATACTACGTATCTGATTGGTGTTATAATTGGCCAGAGATGAATCATCTTATATTTACAGAGGGTGGATTCAACAAATGATCTTTTCAAGGGTATACTGTATTCTTGGATTATAGAAATTAAGGTCAGACCTTATATGACCTCAAAATGATGTAAATTGTTAACTGTTGTTATGCATTCGGTTTGATTTCATTGTTTTACATGAGTATGAGGTGAAACAAATATCAACTAACAACGAAGGCCAAAGACCTGAGAATTATTTTGGCAAGCAGCCTGGAGATTTGAGTTCATATTAAGTTCATGGAATAATATTTATGATTTATTAAACTAGCATGAATTAAGCATTCAATAAAGTTCTTACTATAAACTTTAAGTTAAATTACATATCAGGGATCATTATTTTTAGTTTACGTCACAAGTCTTTGATAAATTTTTATTGTTGTTAGAGACATTGTGCATATGTTTTTACTTCAGAAACTTTTGATTAACTCTGTTCTAAACAAAATATTTTGTTTTTTTTAAATAAATATCTCATGCTATGTATTGTATTTGTATATTTGTAATTGTATGCACTGTGAAAAGTGTGGACCTATTGTATTTGAATCAAAGACATTAAGCCATCAAGTACAATTTATTAAATAGAGTACATTAATTACAATTACAATTTATAAAGTTCAGTATATTAATTATTTTTTGATAAATATCCTAACTCATGTTACAAAAATTTCGTACAATTTCATTAATTCTGGTAAACTATGTGTGTGGGTAGATTATAACTTATGTAATACATAAGTGCAACATGTAATTGTGACATGTAATTGTGACATGTAATTGTGACATCATAGACCTCTGGTTATCTGATGACATTCCAACATATGATAAGTAGAGGAATGTCATAAAAGAGTGGAATTAGCAAGGAATAAAGTGAATTCGAGAGAAATGAGTGAAATAAGCAGACAGACAATTTCTCCAATTTAATTGTTATTTTAGCTAGAAGTAACATTTGATCATGTTTTACTTGGAAAGAGGTGTAGAAGTTATTTGAAAATATGTAGGTACAATATTAAAATATGTAGGCACAATACAATATTAAAATATGTAGGTACAAGATTGAAATATGTAGGTACAATACAATATTAAAATATGTAGGTACAATATTAAAATATGTAGGTACAATACAATATTAAAATATGGAGGTACAATATTAAAATATGTAGGTACAATATTACAATATGCAGGTAGGTACAATACAATATTAGAATATGCAGATACAATACAATATTAGAATATGTAGGTACAATATTACAATATGCAGGTACAATACAATATCAAAATATGCAGGTACAATACAATATTAAATAAAATATGTAGGTACAGTACAATATCAAAATATGGAGGTACAATATTAAAATATGTAGGTACAATATTACAATATGCAGGTACAATACAATATTAAAATATGTAGGTACAATATTAAAATACAATATTAAAATATCCAGGTACAATACAATATTAAAATATCCAGGTACAATATTAAAATATGTAGGTACAATATTCAAATTCTATTTTACATTGCATAAATAGAAAATCAATAAAATATTTGCAAATCAATAAAATAAAATTGAGAAGCTTTGGATAAATGCCACATTATTAGATGTTGCTCTAGACAGTTCAATATCTTTGCATATGTGAATATACTGCATGATTCTATTGCATTTCTATATAGTTTAAAGTGTTGATTTCATGCCTGTTCACTTCATTCCATGTCAGTCCCTTGTTTTCCTCTCTTGTTCATTTTAAAACACGACCACAATGACATTTTCGTCATAGCACATGACTCAGCAAAAATACAGCCATCATGGTGAGATCATATAGCCAATAATTGTTTATTGAAATAACTTCCAATTGTATTTAAAGATGGCAGCACAATACAACTAAACTCATATTTGAGAGATTCAGTTTTGAAGTAATAAGAAAATTCCAGGATCAAAGGTTTCCTATAATTGATATATACATCCCTTTAGCTGATGATTAGAAAATATTAAATAGAAGATGAGCTCAAATTGAGAGACAGTTAGATATATGTGTGGACCTGGATTGATTAAATGGCTCAGGGGTCCCCATGGTTGAGTCTGTGGCCCTGGATTGAGTATGTGGTGCTGTGGCAGTGTGGTTAGCTGGTTGTTTATATCTGAATACAACCTCTATCAACACTGCCATAGGTCTGCATATAAACATCACTGCCAAACTGCAGGCCTCACTTCTGCAAGCTGTCAACGTTGCCTCATCATTGCAACTGTGTAATAAATGTGCTACTGTGTAACTTAACTTTCAAACTAACCTATTTTGTGACATTGGTTTGATTTGATTCATTCTCAAATTAGTTTTACTTACAACATTATTTTAGAACTTGAAAAAGTATGGGTATAAGCATCAACTCTGGTGCCACGTATACGTATATGTAATCGTGAATTTCTTTCTGTTGTATTAATAAATTGAATTTAGAATAAAATGATATATGAGACAAGTTCCACAACTGTATTCTCAATCAATTTGACACTTTTTTACTGTATATCTTTTTTGCAATGAAGAAATTTGAAAAATGCTGATGTACAATATTTTAAACAAATTTACTGTATATGTTGTTACAAGTTCTTAAATTTTGTGTTCTCCTGTATTTCCAGGGCAGCTTATGTATCATACGGTGGGCTCTTAATGCGACTACAGGGTGACGCAAACAATCTGCATGGTTTTGAAGTTGATTCCAACTGCTATTTACTGATGAAGAAACTCGCATTTTAGTCTGAGGAAGCACTTCAAGGACTTAGTTTTAATGTTGTAAATATGGACAAAGTGGTCATTTGGACAATGTCTGTCATGAATTATGATTCAAATTTGGGAAACGTGGTGGACAACGTTTCTCATGGATTCAGACTAAAATGGTAAAAAGGATAAACAATGTCATGATTAGGACCAAAATGGTAAAAATAGAGACCAAGTTCTGTCATAAATAGAGAAAAAGATCAAGACAAAGTTTCATCTCATTGAAAATATTTGAATAATATTTCAGACAATTTTTGAATATATTTTTAAATTTGAATTGTGAACAGTATTAAAAATATAAAGACCATTAAAAGAGCTCTGTCTACAATATTCCAAAACAGCCTTCAATATGTATCATCAACAATGCAAATTGTAAAGGGTGCATATATATATTTTGTTTTATTTCTGAAAGGTAATTAATTAAAATTCACTATTTATAAGAGTTCTCAAGCTTTGAGATTTGGAAACGGTCAAAAGGAAGGTTTATTGGTTTGTTCAATACTGTATAAGTGGTAATTTTGCCTAATCATTTAATTTGCCTATTTCCTAATTTTTGCCAGGTTTGGAAAATTAAATGTCGGAAATATTGTCTTTATAATGTTATCCAATGGGAGGTTTCTTGTCATTAGGAAAATTAAAATTAGGAAAATGATGAAATTTGACCAATCGGAAAATTAACCACTCGGATTAAATACCACTTATACAGTATGTATGTCAATGGTTGGTGTTAAATGCTACTCAGATTTCGTCTTCAATTTTGTTGTATCTTAGTCCCATATGTTAACTTTTTTTTATTTTAAATTTTTGTCATAGACAAGACAGATAAATATTGTTAACCCAACTATCTCACATTAAACACTGCCGGAACGTATTGTTTTCTTAAATGTAATTGTCATTGTATCATGGTGGTATTGTACTACGGTGGTATTGTACCACGATGTGATTGTTTCATGGTGGTATTGTACCATGATATGATTGTACAATCATGGTACTTATTGTATACAATTATTTAAATATATTTTATACTTGTAAAAATGTTTTTTTGTTTGTTTTTAACCTTAAAACGGTTAGGCTATAGAGAATTACACCAAATATCGGGTGCATAATCTTGGAAATGAATAATTGTAGGAGGGTGTATTAGATTGATACCATTAGAAAGGTTATTCAATTCGCAGTATATTGAGCTTTTTTGAGTAAAGACCTTTATCTAATAGACATTGCTACGTAATTAATAATTGTAGTTACCACAGATACTTTTATAAAGTTTATGGGAAATGGGAGTCTAACCTTATTGTCTTTGGCTTATTCCAAAGCAAAATCTTACATTTTCCTAACCTGAAAATTCATTACTGTTGTGGTCAACAAATATTAATTAGTTGGGACATATAAAAAGCCATCAAAACGAGACCCATTGGGTTCTCGTTGGCCCAACCAATGACTATTCAACATATACCAAAAATCTTGAAAACTAGGATTAATTTTTATATATAAATTTATTATAAAAAACTCTGTAAATGGCAATTCTTTAGCACCTTTGTATCTCAAATTCACAAACTGTCCTTTTCAACTTTCAAAAATGTGTTTTGTTTCTCAACATAAGGGAATTATTACCCCATATCAATGCGCCTGAATGTTTCTATGTTAAAACCCAAACAAGGTTGAAGCTTATCACTAAGAACTTTTCAAAATAATGAGTATGTTTAATTGACCACTCTATGCCACTAAGGTATCTGATCACGCTTTTCACTGTTTTTAATACTATTTACACTACTACTATTTCTAGTTAAAAATCTTTTTGGGATTTCCTGATATCCCCCAGATTAGTCGTAACTTGTAAAAATGACCAGATCATCTTGAGACTAGTTTTACCAAAAAAGATTTATATAACATCTCTTTTACAAACTTTCCATCATCAAAAGTTCAGAAAGTTTCTCTCTGATCAGATCATTGTCTCTATTTATTAAAAACTTTCAACCAGCTTCATTTGTATATCACCTCAAATATTTCTTGAATGCGTCTGTTTTCCATCTTCCTAACTTTCTAATCTGTGCATCTGAATATCCAAGGGATGCCGCATATGTGGCCCCTCCAATACGGAAAGAATGTCCTTTGTATTGATCTATGTTTATATTGCATGTTGATTGTAGGGTATATAACACCGTTGTAAATTCTTTTCTTGAAACTGATTTTCCAGACGCTTGTACGAAAAGCTCCTCCCCCCATTAGGGCGATTTTGTAAATATGTAAGCAGTGTTTGCACCGGACACGATACATTTCTAGTTAACTGAGGGTAGATAGTAAGCACCTGACCCATGCCAGGCTTGGAATGTTTATAAGAATCCATCTGTATATGAATGGTATTTCTCACATTATCGTAATTAACATTTTTCCACAAGATGGTGTGTCCCGTACCTTCATTCACCATTTCCCCTACCCGTAGTAGAGCGTAAAACGCTGAAGTATACATTGCCGAATATAGCACTCCTTCATAATAAGTACAATTCCTCTGACATGCCGCAATTAAGTTTTGTAACAATGTTTGCGTAATGGGTAAACGTGAGTTCTGCGGAGGTCTCTGAACAGTTAAGCCTTGTAACGTTTCAGACACTATAAAATGTTTAGTTGGGTCTGGAAGGCCTGCTAACTTATATTTGTACGCCAACGCCGAAACAAATGTTCGTACCGAAGCTGGTGAATATTTCTGTCCAAGAAAAGCAACAAACAAGGACGTCAAGGGCCCAACTGCTGGGTAAGCGTTCAAGTTATGCGTTTGCCAAAAATCTAATAGAAGCGCATCTATTTTATTATACGTTTTCCATGTACTGGCCTTTTTGGCCTTACAAACTAAAGAATCACGCCCTTTAATAAGTTGTCCGGTAAGGCTTCCTCTGGTAAACAAGTCCGTTCCGTGTCCGCTGACCCATGAACCTGAAGGAACAATGGTATATTATCACGTGAAAGTGCATCGCTTGCTATATTGTCAACCCCTCTAATATGTATAGCTTTAAATATAATATTGTTCTTCATTGCTATAAGTATCAATGGCATTAACAGTTTCATGATTTGCTTGTCTTTGGCAGTACACTTATTTAAAACATATACCAAAGCTTCATTATCTGTACGAATCACCAATTTCCTGTTCGCAAAGTTTGATTCCCATGTCATCATTGCCGCTAGAATCGGGTATAGTTCCAGCACCGCAATATTTAATCCCTGGTGATTCAAGGCCCATGTCCCTTGAATCCAAGAGTTGTTATAAACGGCCCCAAAACCAATCATGCCCGCAGCATCAGTGAATATGACTTGTGTTTCTGGGTCTTCCCAATTAGAATCATGAATGAATGCTTTACCATTAAAATCTTTCAAAAATTGAAGCCACAGGGATAAATCTTCACGTATTTCTCGATTTAGACGTAGCCGATGCCATGCCTGAGAGACCCCTTTTGATAAATCTGACAATCTCCGAAGAAAACCCCTACCCCCCGGAATAATGATACAACAAAAATTCAACGACCCATGTATTTGTTGAAGGGTTTCCAGGGTAATCTTTTTTTTTTTAACATTGTCTTCAATTAGTTTTGTGTACTTTTCAATTTTATCTAAGGGTAATCTCGCTTCTCTTTTTAAAGCATCTAATTCAAAACCGACAAATGTCATCACTTGACTAGGACCTAATGTTTTCTCTGGCGCAAGTGGTACCCCCAGTAATTTGCAACAATTTAGGAAAGCGTCTAATTGCTCTGCACATTCCGATTTACTTTGGCTAATAATTAAAAAATCGTCGAGCAAATGAAGAATATCTCGTATACCCAATTTATTCTCTGCTATCCACTGTATTGATGAGCTGAAAATTTCAAATAATTGGCATGAGTGAGATAACCCCATCGGAAGAACCTTGTCATAGTACCAATCTTCCCCTACTTTGAAAATGAAAATCTGGGTGGATCGGAACTTTTCGGTAAGCCGATTCAATATCAAATTTCGCCATATATGCCCCAGACCCAACGTCTAATAATTTATCTATTGCCTGATATATTGTTTGATATTTGACTGTCGAGAATTCTTCAATTATGCCATCATTAACAGAGAACCCTTTTGGATGTGACAAGTGGTGGATTCTTCTAAATTTCCCCGGTGCGCTTTTGGGTACCACTCCCGTTGGGGAAACTACGAAATGATTGAATGGTTTTTCTGGCAGAGGACCTGATATTCTACCCAAAGCTACTTCTTTCTGTATTTTTTCCAACAGTTCTTTTGGATGTTCATAAGCAGAGGGTAAATTACGCATCGTCGATTTTGGCAAATTTCCAGCATACGGGATTTTGAAACCAAATTTAAAACCTTCCCTGAGAAAATTTCTTATTTCGGGATCGTAACCCCCCAAAAATTCATGTAACACGTTTGGTTGTACAGGAGTAGGAATAGACGCCTCTACAACTATATCAATTGAATCCCTATTTTCTTCGATCAATTTGCACAAGGGATTACTTTGATTTTTTGACAAATCTGGTGGAATTTTTATTTTGCTGGCCAAAAGGTCCTGACTTTTGAAACTTTCCTTGTTTACAATTATTCTCTCTGTGTTTTTCATTGCAAAATTTGCAAACGTGCCTATACTTGCAGGAAGAGAACTGGCAGAATTCCCCATTATTCCAGCGAAAACATATGGGCAGTTCTCGAAAAGAAGCTTTCCCTGCTTTCTGACTAGCACCTTTTTGAGCCCCTTTGGTTGCATATGTCAAGTTTGGCTTTATAATAGTAGCTGCTAATAACAATTCGTGGTTAATAACCTCCCACCTGAGCCCAGCTAATAATTTATTTCTCCTAAAATCCTCATCATATTGTTGCCAATTTGCATTCGGCGTTTTGCTTAAAGATAGTATGTGGCTTGCATACTTGATCAAGTTGATAGCTTCATAAGGTTGATGCCTAACATACAGTCATGAAGACATAGAACGCTGCTTGCCAATCACTTATTGATGCTATTTTTGCTTTTGCTTCAATAGGTTTGAGAACCAATCTTTCTTCCCCTTCCTCATTTTCAGTCACATACTTAAATTCCTGATTTGAGTCAGTTTTCACCAACAGTGTTTTCAGGTCAACATACTCATTTTTAATAATTTTTTGGCGTACCGAATCTGAAATATGAGTATCAAGCTGATTTCCCGTAAACATGAGGAAATTTGTGTTACCTTGTGTAACCATCCCTAGCTGATCTGGTCTCCACGGGCCTGGTTGAAGTAGGCCTCCTACCCAGTTCTGAACTGGGACATTGCCTTGGCCCATGCCAAGGTTCTGCCCGATGCCTTGTCCTTGATCCTGTCCCGGCCACTGTCCCATGGGATTTATCCCTTGGCCAAACATTCCCTGGTTTTGTATTCCTTGATGGAATACCGGCCCCTGGCCCATAACGGGGTTTGGATTGAAGCCCTGGCCCATACCTTGTTAAATGCACGAATCAGCTCCAAATTAGGCTCAAATAGCAAGACATATTTTAGTGTCTTAGGGTAGAGACTGGGTCTAAAGGTTATAATGAAAACACGCGCTACGCGCTAACGCGCTAGCGCACTAACGCACTGTTCAGAATGATCGTTCCCACAGGCCCGGGAACATGTATAAAAATCGAGTGAGTGAAGAGATTAGGTGGCTCATCAGAAAGCAGAAGTATGAAGAAGCCCAATGTTTGATCGTTAACTGTGCAAAGATTATCGATTGTTAGTGTGTTTTATCTGATTTAAAAGGAAGATAGAAAGTAGCACCTTACAAGATGAATGGTCGCAGATATGCGAATATGCTCCCTATTTCATTGCATTATTTGCGTCCATCCATCGGCGAGAAAAATCCCGTTTCGAAATCTGAGCAGGGGGCCCGACTACTTGACTATTAATGACTTAATATAATGTTTACTTGTCGCATGTTACCTCTTAATATCAAGTCATGGATGTTTTATATATCTTTACTCTTTGTATTTCAAGTTATATCTCACATGACTTACCAAACGTTGGGATAATTCAGGCGTCGCATTTATATTTTTCCATTTTTCTTTTCGTGCCCGGTTACTCTCTTTCGCTTTCATGGGGGGGGGGGGTGTATAGGGTTATCGTATAAGAGGAGGGTGAAAATCTATTGTGTATGGCCGCATAAGAGGGGGCAACATTTATCGTATATGGCATCGTATAAGTTAAATAAACATATGTTTTAAAAGAATTAAAGAAACCTATTATGAAATTTAAAGGCAGTTTGAACGAATACTGCAGATCCAGCTTATCCCCATAAATTTTGGATTTCAATACACAAGTAGTTGTGGGGGCTTGCCCGTAGCCAGCTTTTTTCCAGGGGAAGCTTTTTCACAATTTTGGCTAATAATCATGAAAAAAATTCTCAGAATGGTGAAAAACTGCATGATTTTGAAAGAATCTCTGGCCAGAGGGGGAGCTCCGCTCCCCCAGCTCCCCCTCTGGCTACGGGCCTGGTTGTGGGGGTGATTTGAAAAATCAGTCCCACATTTATGGGGGTAATCCAGATCTCTATATAGTAGTCTCTATATGCCATATGCCAGGACAGTAACCAGGATTTCCCAGGGGGGGGGGGTCACTTTTTCAAAAATTCCAAAGTCACCCTCCGAACCCCCCCCCCCCTCCCTGGCTTCGGGGCTGTGTACTGCCTATTTGCCGTATGATTATACATTTGGTACTACGTGGATTCTTGCATTATGTTATTTCCTTCTGAATATTATCCAAACTTTTCTCAACGGTAATTTCAAAATTATCGTACAGATATATTATTTACCCGATTGCATACACTGTATGTTATACATGTAAAAGGGGTGAAAAATGCTGTAAATGGTATAAGACTGTGAGGGGCTTGTGAAAAATAGTGTATATGGATTTCCAAGACCCCTATGAACCCCCCTTTCATGTTTGCTTTCGTTTTTCTCAATTTGATTTTAGATTTAAAAAGTTTTGAATTACGTCAGTCCCAGTGAATTGTATTACCTATTTTACCAGGAATATTGTTGAAAACAGGATTGTATTTCATTTGGAATTAAAGCTTTAAATAAGAGACGATTTAAAAAGTAATGTAAACCCGACCAGCGTGTTTTATCATTGTCCGGTAATTGGCCGTAAATATTTATTAATTCTAAGTTACTCATGTTCTTTCAGGTCAAATACAGAGAAAAGTACACGTTCATTTAGTTTTGGAATTATTTCCTAAATTGAAGTCGAATTCTGTTTTTTAACGGTGTGAAGAACATCTTAATTGGTCTTATATTTTTAGAGAAATCGTAACTTGAAAAGTGTAGATTTCGAGAGGCTTTGTTTATTTCCTGCGGCCGCAAAGTTCACATCAAAGTCTGATTGACAGGTTAGCGGTGATTTATACAGTCTTTGAAGTGTCAATGTTTTGACAAGTTCCCAGGGAGTCATAACCCTAATTATACATGTCCCTGGGCCAAGGGTATTGACCAATCATAAACATGCGCTTAAAACATGCGCACACATCGTGGGGGAAGGATCATTTTCTATTAGCGCATTGGCGCGTGGCGCGTTAGCGCGTAGCGCGTGTTTTCATTATAACCGGGTCTAAAGCAAGGAATGGTAGAGACTGTTGATCCCACAATAGAGAGCATGTTTATTATTCCTGTATAACTTATGAAGCATTTGATTACGTCATCATTTATTGCGAATCTCTACGCCCATAAATGTGATCAGGGGTTCTGAGTGTGATATTGGAGATGTTAAGCTAACGATGTTTTTCACAACGTAACCGTGAACGCAAAGTACAAAAATTAACAAAGGAATGTATCGAGCGCTCATAGTTTTATGCGCGCTTAGTCTACTTCAGATACTCTTTCAGCTTCAGAGTTTCGGGTTTAGAACGGGAGATTTGAAATTTGACGTTGGGTCAACGGGAACCATTTTACTCGTGTCTATTGAACACTATGCTGTCAATTTTGATTTCGATGCACAGTTGAATTCTTGCTGAACACGATGATGTATGTCATGCATGATTTAGCGCCAAAAATCTTACGAGCTCGTTTAAAATATGTATTAGAAAACCAGCTATAAAACCGCATCAATGACATACTATAGAATCATAACCCCCCTATCACACCAAACTAGTTCTTACCCGTTCTTGCCAGTCCTACGAAAACGTCGTAAAACGGGCTCAATCTGGCTGTGGTCGGGAAATATGTCTGAAATAATTAGCTTCTTCGTTCTTGAACAGTCTTCAATACGTCCATCTCGTTCGCAGTTCGTTCAGGTCGCACCACGCCGGTGTGCAACGTCGTAGAACGCGTCCCTTAGTCTAGAAGGTCAACATGACCTGATCACAAAACGGAATGGTCGCTATCGAATTTTGAATCGATTCAAAATTCTAAAATCACATTCCCGTCTGAGAACGTTCATAAAGTTCGTAAATAGACCTTAGAAAGTTGCAGCTACGTTCATTCCGCTCACACACAGTTTAAAACCAGTTTTGAAGAACGCAGTGGCAACTTGTTTGGTGTGACAGCTATCTTTTTGCTAACTCGTAGATAAGCAGTGTTAAATACGTTCTTAATCAGTTTAAACCCGTTTGCAATTAGTTCTACCTCATTCTCAACACGTCCTCAGACAGTTCAACTCGTTGTTAAATCGTCGAGAAAACATTTTGAGCATTGTCTAAGTTCTAGGGGACCTACCCGTTCGAGTACGTTCGATGCAGTTTGTAAATAGATCCCAAACGGTTCTTAGTAGGTCCAGTCCGTTCGTACACAATTGAAGCCCGTTTTCGAGAACGTAGTGAGAACTAGTTTGGTGTGATAGTAGGGTTACACGCTATGGTGTAGTCTAAACAAACACTGGATTTGAACGGCTATTTATATGAGAAGGCTACATGAATTTGTATATGGTCGAGTGATACGTACAGGTTCAGTTTCGATTATATATGCAAAGCTTAACCTCTCCATTCTCATAAGTTGACCCCAAAACATGCTCAAGAATATCACATTTATGGATGTGTAGAGTTGCGTTATAAATGATGACGTAATCAAACACTTCATAAGTTACCAGTATCCATTATACGAGAATAATAAACATTAGTGAGTTGCGAAATCTTTCTATTGTCTGAGACACATTTGAATGTTTTTAATTTTATTTGTTTTCAACTATTTAGGAATGATGATTGTGTCGATCTAATGTTTAATAAGACACCTTATTAGAGGTGATATCAGACTGAAGAATTATATCTAATGATTCAATGAGTGACCCAGATATTTCGATAGCATATTTCATTCTAGCTCGTGTTTTATAATGTTTTGGGTACAACATATAAAACTAATACTAATATGTTACAAAATACAAAAAATTATAGAGGATATTAATTCAATCAATTTTTTAAAAGGCGGCCATCTTGAAAAATGGTGGCCGTCACACATAATATTTAACGATTTTTGCTGTAACTGGAAAAGTAGTGGAGTGATTTAGATTATATTTGATGAATACTCATAAGTATAGCTCACTGTCTAATGACACTTTGATAAATAGGCAGCCATTTTGAAAAATGCTTGCCAATTTTATGTGTCTTGTTTAAGCAGTTAATGTAATACACAATTAAGATGGGTGATACTAAAGTTCAGATAATATTTCAGAGCTTCAAAATTGTAAACAGAGGTTCGACCCTCAACTTTCCAATGGTATATTGTAATCTAAGACTCCCGATTTTTTTCGGCCAAAATTTGGGAAAAGTAGCTCACGAGTGCAGAGAGATCATCGGAGGGTAACTCTGATATTTTTACTTACCCATTTTTATTATTTATTTAGACACTACACTATTTGTACCATTGGCACTCTCAGCAATTTAATGGTTGCGTCTATCGTCGTCCATCCTCCGAACGCAGGGTTCCAGACGTCATCCACTACTAAGACTGTATCATGTGTATTGTTAGTTCATACACAAGAAAATTGCATATCATGTCAATGAAATGGTAAATTAATATAAATATTACTCGATTTGTGTATTTCCTGAAAAAATAAAAATATTTCTGTGCCTAAATCCCACATTACAGAAAAAGTCGATGGATAGTTCGTAATTTTATAGAAGAATTGGATGTTCCCCAATGTACTTGGAATCTGATGAGCCTGTCTTTAGGTAAGGACACACTGTAAAACGATCACAGGCTACCGAGTAAAATTACACCTACCTCTCTCTGGATCAAAAACGGAGGTCTGCGTCCAGTATTTCCAGTTGTACCAGACGAAAATACTGGACGCGTTCCTGCCCCCTGTTAGTGTTAGAAGGAGGCACGAGTTCTGGAGGCCTGTGTTCGGAGGATGCTCTCGTCAAAAATTAAAACTCCTTGTTTATTTGAGCTCTAATATTTCCAAATTGGTGCAAAATCTGAACAGATAATCAATTTCTAATATGTATAGAACCTTTAGAGGAAGATATATACTCTCATCAAAAAATATTGATTTGTAGTCACCAATTTTGAGAAAATCAGCTTTTAACAGGAGGGGGAGCATTTTTCCAGGGGGGAAGCTTTTTTCACAATTTTGGCTAAAAATCATGCGAAGAATTGTGAAAAACTGCATGATTTCGAAAGAATTTCTGTAGGGGCCTCCTAATAATTTGTTTAATCTATAATTTCCACCCAGAATCCTCGTCGCCCATTACCCATTTAATTCATTGCTTGTATCGATTCAAAGTATGCTTCCGAAACTGGACTGGGGTCTTGATTTTGCATTCCCGAATTAAAGGTGTTTCTAGCCGTTTCATAAGAAGGGCATTCAAAAAGTCTGTGCTGGGTTCGATTTTGTCTGGGCACTCTTCACAATATGGTAAAATCGATGGGTTAAGATTTTTCCATTTGAATTTCTCTGAGTTAAGAGTAAACTAATCGACACGACGTGCTAAAAATGTTATGCGTGGCAACTGGAAATCATCTTTAAAAAGGTTAATTTTTTCTAACCCTTTTGGGGATCAGATTAATGCCTGGGTCACACTTGCTACGATTCATCGGCCGGCGCTTGGCCATTTGAGTATTCTGTTCGAAACTGAATACAATAACGCAGATGCGAGTAGGTAGTTACCAGTTTCACCACCAGGTGGCTCACTCGGGTCAGATAGCATGGCGGGTATAGTAGAAAGTTCCCTTTAACTTAAATTACATCTGTTTTAGTGGTTCACTTTTCATATAACCCTTATGTATCTAATAGTTATGCAAATCAAAATATGTCCAGTAAATGAAAATGTTATCTGACCAATACAAGAAAATATATTTTACTTTTTGTGATTTTGTAACATGGGCTCTATGGAGAATCAACCCGAACTTGAAGTCACACTTTCAAAAATAATCAAATTTTCAAACTTGATAAACAATTTTCGAAACCATATTTCTAGATGCACTTTTACATGTAGATTTCAAATATAACATCGCTTTGACTGAATAGGATACTCAATCTTCCGGGCGCCGGCCGATGAATCGGAGCAAATGTGACCCAGGCATAAGTCAATGGTATTCGTCAAGGCTACTTTTTTCTAAGAAACCATCATTTATGTACTTTTCGAGAGATCTTGTAACTGTTTGAAGTAACTGTACGAAATATTTTCAACCATAGTTCCAATTGAATGGTTAGCACGTTGCTATTTCAAACCTTTTTCCCAAAATTTCCGAGTCAATAACAACTTAAGACCAAAATCGTATCATATAATATAAGGTGATATTTCAATTTTTATACAATAGTTTTCATGGTGTACTTGGCATCAAAAACAAAATCAGCCAGGGCCCTTAAAACACAAAACACAGAGTGAATATAACAAGCCGTTCATGTGCATTCATGTCATGAAGGTACACGGAAAGTAGCCGAGGGATTTTCTTTTTAGTATTCACGCTGGGACGCAGGCGCAGTATACATGTACTGTTCTTACACTTTTTCGGACACTTCAACTTCTAAACTTGTGCCAACGTCAATTGTATTGTCCGTACTATTGAGCAGACGTCGTGAAATCAAGGTAAGGTTTTAGTGTATTGTTAAAATAACCATTAAAGTGAAATGTATTTCTAGTTTTACGCAAACAATTCAAAATATCGATTTCAATTCAAAATATCGATTTATAGATATAGACTCCTCGATTATGTCGGATTGTATTGTTATGTATGGTGAAAAGTCATGGGCGTTGAAGTTACCAAGCATGCGTGCATGTGTGGAATAATTGTTAAAGTAAGTTGCGTCTTGTTGAAAAATTCATGGGAGTCTTTCCAGTACGTGACACGCCGTAATTGGGCTTTGTTGGTTCCGGAGAGTAAACATTTTAATTTTTTTAAGATACATACATCTCCCTGGATACGCATTTCTCTATGTCACATTTTGTGAACACTTCGTTGCATAATCGAAAGTCAGTACTGTATGTCCAGGCCTCCTAGACGTCCATCAACGCGAACATCAGTTCTGACATTGCGAACTACGTTCCTTGCACTCGAACCACGATTCTCACATCGCGAACGTAAAATCTTTAGTCGCGCACCACTATTTCCTCGCAATGGTAATGTACCATTGCACAAAGGACAAGTATAATCATAAACCGGTTTACAGCGAACTGGGGTAGTCGTATGAGGTGAATGTTTTTGGAAGTAATCCCAGGAAAATGTTGTCAGTTGAAATAAATTTGATAAAAGTTTCGTAATTAAAGGTTTTTGAGGTGTTACAGAGGCAATAAAATCCTTAATCATGAAGCAACTTAACCCTATACTTTTGACGGAACCACACAATATATTTGACGACAGGTTAATGATAATAATGTACATGAATATCTAACCACAAGTGTCAAAGGGAAAGGACAAAAAGTTGTATCAGCCCCGCAAGAAAAACAAACTGTAACTGAAGTGTACACAAATCATATGAAAAACAAACCCCATATATCCCAAAATCATGATCTAGCGTGAAAAGAACCAATGTCTAATACCCGATTTCCCCTATTATGTTATCATATCTATGAGAACCAATATCACAATTCAAGACCAGAAGACCAAGGGACATTGCATTATACTGAAGTAATTACGATAAATGTTAAAGAAAAACATAGAAATTGATAGCCAATATATGACATCAAAATAGTTAATATAAGTGCTTATACAAGAAAGAACAATATCCAGTCTCAAATGATGCGAGTTATACAAAATCCAATCTCAAAGTCCATCGGCGTTTCAAACCAGGGGCGGATCTTGGAACCAACAAGGAGAGGGGGCAAATATCAGGTCAGAGAAAAAGACTTTGGGAAAAAAATGTGGGCCCCTTAAACCTAAAAGTGGGCCCAAATATTCAAATTTCGAGGCCCATTTTCTTGGCCCAAAATTCTTTTGGGCCCACCTAAGGGGGGAGCCCCCCCCCCCAGATCCGCCAGTGCAAAGGGTCATCATCCATTCGCAAAGCCGTCGCCGTAATCCATAGATAAATCACAATGGTCTATTATAGTCATCAAGAGAAAATTATGACTGGTTTGATCCCTATTTCTCAACCATTAATGACTGGCTTTAGAATTTGATAATGTTGATTTAGATGTAGATCAATCAATGATCACCGATGATCAAAACATTTCTTAATGCTTCAGATGCAGTCTATAGCGATAATATGCCTCGGAGTTGCAGTTGTATGTCTCTGCACTGCTCAAAGAGGATCGCCCACCGATATTGATCAATTAGTGGTGGATATTTTGGAAAGGTATGTAAAAACCTATTTCATAATTAACATATAGGCGTATGTGTGTCCCTTGATATAAACCTGCTAACGGACTGTCTTTGACAATTATTTTCACAACAATTGATTACTAAATGTTAAAAATGTCTATAAAGATCCGATTAGCAAATTATACAAATAGGAAAGAGATAGGTTGCATATTCAGATGATATCAGCTGCCTCAGAAATGAGGCCAGAAAGGAAAATGAAGGTTAAGCCAGTGGCGGATTCGGGACTCAATATTTCAAAATTTGGGCCCAATTTTGAGTTTTAGGGGCAGGAACTTTCTCAAAATCCCCCCCTCCTTTGTTGATTTCTGGATCCGCCACTAAAAGCCATGTGATAGTGTACAAATAGTGGCTGCCATTGAGGGAAATAGTGCAAAATATTTTCCTCAAGGGAATATCCTGTCCACTGACATGTTCCCGAGGCTGCAGGCCGAGGGAACAAGTCAGTGGACAGGATATTCCCGAGAGGAAAATTTTTACACTATTTCCCGAAAATGTGGCAGTCACTATTTGTTTTATTATATACCTGATAACAGTACTGTCAACCGCCAAAGATTTTCTCGCGGGACAGATTTTTTAGACCCAGTGCCCAAAATTCGCGGGATTTTGCGGGACATCTACTAAATTCGCGGGATTTCGCGGGACATTTAAGGGATTTGCGTGATTGCGCTTATAGGCCAATTTTTTTATCAAATTCGCGGGACCATTCGAGGGACAAACACCCTAATTGCGGGACAGTTAACAGGTTTACCAGCAAAAACTTCATAGAGGGACAGATTTTCTAGAAAAAGTGCCCTAAATTTGCGGGATTTCGCGGGACATCCACCTAAATTTGCAGGATGTCCCGGGACATTCAAGGGATTTGCGTGATTTGGACTAATGTAGAAGCGTGTAAAAGTACTTGAATCAAACTTTCAGATACTGATTAATCAAATATAATGCACCGTTACATTGTAACTTAAATAAACGTCAACATAATTTCACAAAATACGCATAGAAATATTATTTAAACTTTATTGTAATTTATCAAAAACAAAAACCATGCTCGAGGTGTGAGTATCATAATATTTGGAACAATACTTTGCACTCCTCTGCTTCTGGCGTCGTGACCAACTACTACCATACTGTAGGCATGGGCTTTCAATTGAAAGCCCATGATATAGGGGTTCGATTAATCTACATCAAATTATAGGGAATGAGGTTACTTTTCTAGATAGGGTTTGTAGAAAAAACCGGGTACCGGGTAGTAAATCTTCCATGCTGGGTTCAAACTTTTTTTTTTTTTTATTCCTTCATTCTTATTTATGTACATGTAAATGTAAATATAAATATGTACATGTAAATGTAATGCAATTAATAATATAAATAAAATTTACGTAGACAAACTTGGTACCCGGTCGAAAAACCGGGTACCCAAAAAACGAAATATACGAATATACAACATAATTAGATCATTCGAAAACGTGTAAGATTTGTTTTGAATTTACAAAAATGTAACTTCCTTCAAAATTGAGCTAGAAGCTTCAAATAAAAAGCATTTTAAGCCTCTTTTCTTCCTCTATCATCATGGTCATATTTCCATTGGTAATGAAGGGGGAGGGGGTGCGATCGCACCATCAGACACTCTCCTGGCTACGCCAATGACATTGTAAGACGATTTGAATAACAAGACAAATCAATTTTACCCTATTTTCAATGAGTTCGTATGTTGGTACGTGAACATAACCAATGAAAATATGGTCATGACGATAGAGGAAGAAAAGAGCCTTAAAATATGCTTTTTATTTGAAGCTTCTAGCTCAATTTTGAAGGATGTTACATACATTTTTGTAAATTCAAAACAAATCTTACACGTTTTCTGATAATCTAATTATGTTATACTCGTATATTCGTATTTTTCATTTTTTGGGTACCCGTTTTTTGACCGGGTACCGGGTACCAAGTTTGAACCCAGCATGGAGGATTTACTACCCGGTACCCGGTTTTTTCTACAAACCCTTTCTAGATATCAGCGTCCATTTATTGTAACTCGCGTTTGCTATCATTTGCTCAGTTCTGAGATGAAGGCCACACGGATAGTAAAAAGGCCAACGTTGGAACTAATTGTGACCTACATCCCTATTGTCGTAATTAAAATGAAAGTTGAACCCTTCCTCTTCATTTTGATACCAAACAACAGCATGCTAGGTACTTAAAATTAGGTAAACTTTAGTGCAAAAAGTGCAAAAACTTCGAGGTCGAAAGTCACATTTGCGGGACTTCGCGGGACATTGCGGGACACGCGAATTAGCCTAATTTTGATCGAATTCTCGGGATAATCCCGCCATTCGCGGGACACTTGACAGCTCTGTGATAAGTACTCTGTAAACAAAAACAAAATGAGAAGTCTTTTCATTTCAATATCAAATGTTCACAGGTTCTTATTGGCATTTAAAGGCATTCTACCTTTCAACTCCTATAATCTCAGATTTGGGGGAAGATAAAACGTACTATTGACTGGTCACATGACCTAACTGGTGATTAGTACAATCCATCTTCCCTGAAAGCAGGGATTAAGGACTTTCCAGGGAATTAGTTCATCTATTCCATGTCATGTGACCATGAATAAGCCAATGAGCATCTAGAATACATTTGAGGTATATAATAATGACTTTTAATCTTAATTTTTGAGGGAATGGATAAAAATAGTAACTAACAGTGCTTACCTTGTAAATAGCGATACGTTGCTTTTGTGTTATAGGGCATTAGGAGAGGAGATACGTATAAAGAACTTAGTTTCGGACTTCAATGAAGATTCTCTTCGTAGTCTACTGGAATTATATGGAACAATTACGTCATTTAAGGTATACGATGATAGCGGTACCCAATTCAAGTATGCACAAGTTAAATTCAGTAACAGCCAAGACGCAGCAGATGCTGTTGCTGACCTTAATAGAGCAATGTTTATGGGTCAGCCTATGGTCATAAGCGTCTATTAGAGGAAACCTCTTGGAAGCTCTAAAAGAAGAGGTTGGGAGGAGCAGAAGAAAATATAACAGAGGTAGTCGAAGAAGATATAGAAGCTAAGGAAGTCGTTGCGGCAATAGTGGAAACACAACATCAACAATATATAGGACTTCAATGGACAAGTGATCACGTCGAACATTTCTTGACGTTTAAGATTATTATACAATGATAAGAGCAATGTTAGCAACACCATTTATATACAATTATTGATCTACTTGGAATGAATATATTAATTATGCAAAAAATATCAAAAATGTTCTCAAATTAATACAAATATCACTATAGTGTACACCCATATATCACTATATCACTAGCGTACACCCATTTCGATAGGATATCCTATCGAAATGGGTGTACGCTTCCCAAAAACGAGTTTCTATGTACTGTACCACTGGTAAATTTCCCGTGGTACTACATTTCGCGCTTATTGCGAGTTTTGGTAAATTCATGAAATATAATAGCCGCATCATTCCCATGGTAATAATTCGCGTAATGTTATAGCCGCGAAATTCTCTAAAATTCCCCAAAGTTCAATCCGTTCACAATGTTCATAATATTTTCGTCCAGTGCTGGGTGACAAATTGTATAGGTTACTGTATTCAGGGCCAGGGAGGATTGGCTTAACCCTAGAAGCCCTAAGGTCCCCAAGCTAAGTTTTTTCTCTGAAACATTTCATAGGCATCAGGTAGGATCTTCAAATTCTCAGTAGCTGGAGCTACAGATACAACAAATGTTTTCTTAAAAAGCAGATTTGTACATAGGGTGATTAATTTATTATGATGTAAGCATCAGCTCCAATAGCAAATTCGGAAAAAGCTAGCACTAATTTTTCCATACGTGTTGTCTTTAGAATAAAATTATGCAATCTTACTTCATCATACTTCTAAAGTTATTATACCATATCGTAGATAATTGAATGAAGTACAGTATATCTGGGAAAAGCTTGCACATCCAAGTTTTACTAATAAAGATTTTACAAGTGGGGGTCCTTTTGACCCTTACGCGTTCGCGTGACTTTTCTACTCAAGGGCTTCTAGGGCTAAGGATTTACTCCCTGGATTCAGTGCATCGTAGACTGATTCACACTACCCTACCACGTGACCACGTTTAAAAGGGAAACAGGGTACAGCTAACCCTACTATCACACCAAACTAGTTCTCACTACGTTCTCGAAAACGGGCTTCAACTGTGTACGAACGGACTGGACCTACTAAGAACTGTTTGGGATCTATTTACAAACTTCATCGAACGTACTCGAACGGGTAGGTCCTCTTGAACTTAGAATATGCTCAAAATGTTCTCGTGGTCGTCACGTTCTACAATTAGAACGAGTGACAACGTACTAACGACGAGCTGGACGTACTACGAACGGAACCGTCGTACTTCAATCCTACTAGGGACGTTTTAACAACGAGTTGAACTGTCTGAGGGCGTGTTGAGAACGAGGTAGAACTAATTGCAAACGGGTTTAAACTGATTAAGAACGTATTTAACACTGCTTATGAACGAGTTAGCAAAAATATAGCTATCACACCAAATAAGTTGCCACTGCGTTCTTCAAAACTGGTTTTAAACTGTGTGCGAACGGAATGAACGTAGCTGCAACTTTCTAAGGTCTATTTACGAACTTTATGAACGTTCTCAGACGGGAATGTGATTTTAGAATTTTGAATCGATTCAAAATTCGATGGCGACCATACCGTTCTGTAATCAGGTCATGTTGACCTTCTAGACTAAGGGATGCGTTCTACGACGTTGCACACCGACGTGGTGCGACCTTAACGAACTGCGAACGAGATGGACGTATTGAGGACTGTTTAAGAACGAAGCAGCTAATTATTTCAGACATATTTCCCGACCACAGCCAGATTGAGCCCGTTTACGATGTTTTCGTAGGACTGGCAAGAACGGGTAAGAACTAGTTTGGTGTGATAGGGGGGTAAGTTGCAAATGGAGGACGTGGGTTTAATTCCATATTTCTGAACGTAAAATACATTTTACATTTATTTCTAGTGTTCTACCAGACATAGAATTGATTCATCAACCAGTTTGTAGAATATTGTTGGCAAAAAAACATTATAGGCAAAGATAGCTAATAGTCGGCGCAGTGAAGCAAAACTCAAATGCAATACACGATACATTTCAGTAAATCTATCAACGTACAGGGAGCATGTAAGTTTCCCTTCGAAAATGTTACATTGATATGTAACAAAAAAAAACAGTTAACTGTTATTTAAACTGCGTGTCATCGTGTTATATGTGGATACGTTTTCTAGTATGTTATTCAAATGTATTTTTGTGAATTAATTGTTTTTCTAAAATCTTACGATGCATAAAAAGTCGTCCCAGAAATGTATCTTGACTTTGCCGTAAGGCATAACATATTGCGAAACATTTTTCCTCTTGTCACAAAGAGGATAGTGTTAGTTTCGAGGTGTCTTGTGATGAGCGTTTCATGATTAAATGCAAAATCACTTGAGCAGATACCATCCAAAAACATCTGGCATTCAACACGTCATATAAGACATACATCGATATATATGGTATTGTTTTTTTACAATAATAGAGAAATACGACGTCATATCAGCGCTACAGCAAATCGTGAAGAACAAAATGCTCTCAAGTTTTGAGCAACACATTTTAAATGATCAGTTTTTTAGGACGGTGGTGAATTAAACCATTCAAGGGGTTATATAGAAAGATTCTTCACGTGTAGTTCAGGCAATTTTAATTATTCTGAATAGCGGATGGTCATTAATACTGATAGCGGATAGTCATTCATCAACGTGTTCATATTTAATTTTGTTATTTTATTTCAATTTGAGTAACACGCAAATCTAGCGTTCTTGTTAATTGAATGACTAAAATGCATATACGACCTGAAAGCCCGTGTCTAAATCTACAAAATAATGTTTACTTTATTTGGATTAAATAACATATTGATGAAACCTCAAAGCATCAACAGACGGCCTTTTTAGCATTATTTTCGCTGTTTGCAACGTAAATGTACATGAGATATGGGACATAGTATGTCTGTATAACCAGCTTACTTTCTCGCTCCTTGTACTATTGAACAATTTACATTCCTTGTACCCTGTATTGATCAACTTTTGCAACTGTGTACCGTGTACTAAGACATATCAAATATTTTAAAATTTAAAACGATATTATTTACATTCTTTCTTCAACTATCATATAACTTGGAACATGGACTTCACTATTACACCACTGAAGTTCAGCGAATAGCAATATTGATTCACTCCGAGGGTAGTGTGTGATTATGAATCCGCAAAGATGTTTGCACGAATGCGTAGCATGACTGCTAAGTCATGGGCGTTGAAGTTACCAAGCATGCGTGCATGTGTGGAATAATTGTTAAAGTAAGTTGCGTCTTGTTGAAAAATTCATGGGAGTCTTTCCAGTACGTGACACGCCGTAATTGGGCTTTGTTGGTTCCGGAGAGTAAACATTTTTATTTTTTTAAGATACATACATCTCCCTGGATACGCATTTCTCTATGTCACATTTTGTGAACACTTCGTTGCATAATCGAAAGTCAGTACTGTATGTCCAGGCCTCCTAGACGTCCATCAACGCGAACATCAGTTCTGACATTGCGAACTACGTTCCTTGCACTCGAACCACGATTCTCACATCGCGAACGTAAAATCTTTAGTCGCGCACCACTATTTCCTCGCAATGGTAATGTACCATTGCACAAAGGACAAGTATAATCATAAACCGGTTTACAGCGAACTGGGGTAGTCGTATGAGGTGAATGTTTTTGGAAGTAATCCCAGGAAAATGTTGTCAGTTGAAATAAATTTGATAAAAGTTTCGTAATTAAAGGTTTTTGAGGTGTTACAGAGGCAATAAAATCCTTAATCATGAAGCAACTTAACCCTATACTTTTGACGGAACCACACAATATATTTGACGACAGGTTAATGATAATAATGTACATGAATATCTAACCACAAGTGTCAAAGGGAAAGGACAAAAAGTTGTATCAGCCCCGCAAGAAAAACAAACTGTAACTGAAGTGTACACAAATCATATGAAAAACAAACCCCATATATCCCAAAATCATGATCTAGCGTGAAAAGAACCAATGTCTAATACCCGATTTCCCCTATTATGTTATCATATCTATGAGAACCAATATCACAATTCAAGACCAGAAGACCAAGGGACATTGCATTATACTGAAGTAATTACGATAAATGTTAAAGAAAAACATAGAAATTGATAGCCAATATATGACATCAAAATAGTTAATATAAGTGCTTATACAAGAAAGAACAATATCCAGTCTCAAATGATGCGAGTTATACAAAATCCAATCTCAAAGTCCATCGGCGTTTCAAACCAGGGGCGGATCTTGGAACCAACAAGGAGAGGGGGCAAATATCAGGTCAGAGAAAAAGACTTTGGGAAAAAAATGTGGGCCCCTTAAACCTAAAAGTGGGCCCAAATATTCAAATTTCGAGGCCCATTTTCTTGGCCCAAAATTCTTTTGGGCCCACCTAAGGGGGGAGCCCCCCCCCCCAGATCCGCCAGTGCAAAGGGTCATCATCCATTCGCAAAGCCGTCGCCGTAATCCATAGATAAATCACAATGGTCTATTATAGTCATCAAGAGAAAATTATGACTGGTTTGATCCCTATTTCTCAACCATTAATGACTGGCTTTAGAATTTGATAATGTTGATTTAGATGTAGATCAATCAATGATCACCGATGATCAAAACATTTCTTAATGCTTCAGATGCAGTCTATAGCGATAATATGCCTCGGAGTTGCAGTTGTATGTCTCTGCACTGCTCAAAGAGGATCGCCCACCGATATTGATCAATTAGTGGTGGATATTTTGGAAAGGTATGTAAAAACCTATTTCATAATTAACATATAGGCGTATGTGTGTCCCTTGATATAAACCTGCTAACGGACTGTCTTTGACAATTATTTTCACAACAATTGATTACTAAATGTTAAAAATGTCTATAAAGATCCGATTAGCAAATTATACAAATAGGAAAGAGATAGGTTGCATATTCAGATGATATCAGCTGCCTCAGAAATGAGGCCAGAAAGGAAAATGAAGGTTAAGCCAGTGGCGGATTCGGGACTCAATATTTCAAAATTTGGGCCCAATTTTGAGTTTTAGGGGCAGGAACTTTCTCAAAATCCCCCCCTCCTTTGTTGATTTCTGGATCCGCCACTAAAAGCCATGTGATAGTGTACAAATAGTGGCTGCCATTGAGGGAAATAGTGCAAAATATTTTCCTCAAGGGAATATCCTGTCCACTGACATGTTCCCGAGGCTGCAGGCCGAGGGAACAAGTCAGTGGACAGGATATTCCCGAGAGGAAAATTTTTACACTATTTCCCGAAAATGTGGCAGTCACTATTTGTTTTATTATATACCTGATAACAGTACTGTCAACCGCCAAAGATTTTCTCGCGGGACAGATTTTTTAGACCCAGTGCCCAAAATTCGCGGGATTTTGCGGGACATCTACTAAATTCGCGGGATTTCGCGGGACATTTAAGGGATTTGCGTGATTGCGCTTATAGGCCAATTTTTTTATCAAATTCGCGGGACCATTCGAGGGACAAACACCCTAATTGCGGGACAGTTAACAGGTTTACCAGCAAAAACTTCATAGAGGGACAGATTTTCTAGAAAAAGTGCCCTAAATTTGCGGGATTTCGCGGGACATCCACCTAAATTTGCAGGATGTCCCGGGACATTCAAGGGATTTGCGTGATTTGGACTAATGTAGAAGCGTGTAAAAGTACTTGAATCAAACTTTCAGATACTGATTAATCAAATATAATGCACCGTTACATTGTAACTTAAATAAACGTCAACATAATTTCACAAAATACGCATAGAAATATTATTTAAACTTTATTGTAATTTATCAAAAACAAAAACCATGCTCGAGGTGTGAGTATCATAATATTTGGAACAATACTTTGCACTCCTCTGCTTCTGGCGTCGTGACCAACTACTACCATACTGTAGGCATGGGCTTTCAATTGAAAGCCCATGATATAGGGGTTCGATTAATCTACATCAAATTATAGGGAATGAGGTTACTTTTCTAGATAGGGTTTGTAGAAAAAACCGGGTACCGGGTAGTAAATCTTCCATGCTGGGTTCAAACTTTTTTTTTTTTTTATTCCTTCATTCTTATTTATGTACATGTAAATGTAAATATAAATATGTACATGTAAATGTAATGCAATTAATAATATAAATAAAATTTACGTAGACAAACTTGGTACCCGGTCGAAAAACCGGGTACCCAAAAAACGAAATATACGAATATACAACATAATTAGATCATTCGAAAACGTGTAAGATTTGTTTTGAATTTACAAAAATGTAACTTCCTTCAAAATTGAGCTAGAAGCTTCAAATAAAAAGCATTTTAAGCCTCTTTTCTTCCTCTATCATCATGGTCATATTTCCATTGGTAATGAAGGGGGAGGGGGTGCGATCGCACCATCAGACACTCTCCTGGCTACGCCAATGACATTGTAAGACGATTTGAATAACAAGACAAATCAATTTTACCCTATTTTCAATGAGTTCGTATGTTGGTACGTGAACATAACCAATGAAAATATGGTCATGACGATAGAGGAAGAAAAGAGCCTTAAAATATGCTTTTTATTTGAAGCTTCTAGCTCAATTTTGAAGGATGTTACATACATTTTTGTAAATTCAAAACAAATCTTACACGTTTTCTGATAATCTAATTATGTTATACTCGTATATTCGTATTTTTCATTTTTTGGGTACCCGTTTTTTGACCGGGTACCGGGTACCAAGTTTGAACCCAGCATGGAGGATTTACTACCCGGTACCCGGTTTTTTCTACAAACCCTTTCTAGATATCAGCGTCCATTTATTGTAACTCGCGTTTGCTATCATTTGCTCAGTTCTGAGATGAAGGCCACACGGATAGTAAAAAGGCCAACGTTGGAACTAATTGTGACCTACATCCCTATTGTCGTAATTAAAATGAAAGTTGAACCCTTCCTCTTCATTTTGATACCAAACAACAGCATGCTAGGTACTTAAAATTAGGTAAACTTTAGTGCAAAAAGTGCAAAAACTTCGAGGTCGAAAGTCACATTTGCGGGACTTCGCGGGACATTGCGGGACACGCGAATTAGCCTAATTTTGATCGAATTCTCGGGATAATCCCGCCATTCGCGGGACACTTGACAGCTCTGTGATAAGTACTCTGTAAACAAAAACAAAATGAGAAGTCTTTTCATTTCAATATCAAATGTTCACAGGTTCTTATTGGCATTTAAAGGCATTCTACCTTTCAACTCCTATAATCTCAGATTTGGGGGAAGATAAAACGTACTATTGACTGGTCACATGACCTAACTGGTGATTAGTACAATCCATCTTCCCTGAAAGCAGGGATTAAGGACTTTCCAGGGAATTAGTTCATCTATTCCATGTCATGTGACCATGAATAAGCCAATGAGCATCTAGAATACATTTGAGGTATATAATAATGACTTTTAATCTTAATTTTTGAGGGAATGGATAAAAATAGTAACTAACAGTGCTTACCTTGTAAATAGCGATACGTTGCTTTTGTGTTATAGGGCATTAGGAGAGGAGATACGTATAAAGAACTTAGTTTCGGACTTCAATGAAGATTCTCTTCGTAGTCTACTGGAATTATATGGAACAATTACGTCATTTAAGGTATACGATGATAGCGGTACCCAATTCAAGTATGCACAAGTTAAATTCAGTAACAGCCAAGACGCAGCAGATGCTGTTGCTGACCTTAATAGAGCAATGTTTATGGGTCAGCCTATGGTCATAAGCGTCTATTAGAGGAAACCTCTTGGAAGCTCTAAAAGAAGAGGTTGGGAGGAGCAGAAGAAAATATAACAGAGGTAGTCGAAGAAGATATAGAAGCTAAGGAAGTCGTTGCGGCAATAGTGGAAACACAACATCAACAATATATAGGACTTCAATGGACAAGTGATCACGTCGAACATTTCTTGACGTTTAAGATTATTATACAATGATAAGAGCAATGTTAGCAACACCATTTATATACAATTATTGATCTACTTGGAATGAATATATTAATTATGCAAAAAATATCAAAAATGTTCTCAAATTAATACAAATATCACTATAGTGTACACCCATATATCACTATATCACTAGCGTACACCCATTTCGATAGGATATCCTATCGAAATGGGTGTACGCTTCCCAAAAACGAGTTTCTATGTACTGTACCACTGGTAAATTTCCCGTGGTACTACATTTCGCGCTTATTGCGAGTTTTGGTAAATTCATGAAATATAATAGCCGCATCATTCCCATGGTAATAATTCGCGTAATGTTATAGCCGCGAAATTCTCTAAAATTCCCCAAAGTTCAATCCGTTCACAATGTTCATAATATTTTCGTCCAGTGCTGGGTGACAAATTGTATAGGTTACTGTATTCAGGGCCAGGGAGGATTGGCTTAACCCTAGAAGCCCTAAGGTCCCCAAGCTAAGTTTTTTCTCTGAAACATTTCATAGGCATCAGGTAGGATCTTCAAATTCTCAGTAGCTGGAGCTACAGATACAACAAATGTTTTCTTAAAAAGCAGATTTGTACATAGGGTGATTAATTTATTATGATGTAAGCATCAGCTCCAATAGCAAATTCGGAAAAAGCTAGCACTAATTTTTCCATACGTGTTGTCTTTAGAATAAAATTATGCAATCTTACTTCATCATACTTCTAAAGTTATTATACCATATCGTAGATAATTGAATGAAGTACAGTATATCTGGGAAAAGCTTGCACATCCAAGTTTTACTAATAAAGATTTTACAAGTGGGGGTCCTTTTGACCCTTACGCGTTCGCGTGACTTTTCTACTCAAGGGCTTCTAGGGCTAAGGATTTACTCCCTGGATTCAGTGCATCGTAGACTGATTCACACTACCCTACCACGTGACCACGTTTAAAAGGGAAACAGGGTACAGCTAACCCTACTATCACACCAAACTAGTTCTCACTACGTTCTCGAAAACGGGCTTCAACTGTGTACGAACGGACTGGACCTACTAAGAACTGTTTGGGATCTATTTACAAACTTCATCGAACGTACTCGAACGGGTAGGTCCTCTTGAACTTAGAATATGCTCAAAATGTTCTCGTGGTCGTCACGTTCTACAATTAGAACGAGTGACAACGTACTAACGACGAGCTGGACGTACTACGAACGGAACCGTCGTACTTCAATCCTACTAGGGACGTTTTAACAACGAGTTGAACTGTCTGAGGGCGTGTTGAGAACGAGGTAGAACTAATTGCAAACGGGTTTAAACTGATTAAGAACGTATTTAACACTGCTTATGAACGAGTTAGCAAAAATATAGCTATCACACCAAATAAGTTGCCACTGCGTTCTTCAAAACTGGTTTTAAACTGTGTGCGAACGGAATGAACGTAGCTGCAACTTTCTAAGGTCTATTTACGAACTTTATGAACGTTCTCAGACGGGAATGTGATTTTAGAATTTTGAATCGATTCAAAATTCGATGGCGACCATACCGTTCTGTAATCAGGTCATGTTGACCTTCTAGACTAAGGGATGCGTTCTACGACGTTGCACACCGACGTGGTGCGACCTTAACGAACTGCGAACGAGATGGACGTATTGAGGACTGTTTAAGAACGAAGCAGCTAATTATTTCAGACATATTTCCCGACCACAGCCAGATTGAGCCCGTTTACGATGTTTTCGTAGGACTGGCAAGAACGGGTAAGAACTAGTTTGGTGTGATAGGGGGGTAAGTTGCAAATGGAGGACGTGGGTTTAATTCCATATTTCTGAACGTAAAATACATTTTACATTTATTTCTAGTGTTCTACCAGACATAGAATTGATTCATCAACCAGTTTGTAGAATATTGTTGGCAAAAAAACATTATAGGCAAAGATAGCTAATAGTCGGCGCAGTGAAGCAAAACTCAAATGCAATACACGATACATTTCAGTAAATCTATCAACGTACAGGGAGCATGTAAGTTTCCCTTCGAAAATGTTACATTGATATGTAACAAAAAAAAACAGTTAACTGTTATTTAAACTGCGTGTCATCGTGTTATATGTGGATACGTTTTCTAGTATGTTATTCAAATGTATTTTTGTGAATTAATTGTTTTTCTAAAATCTTACGATGCATAAAAAGTCGTCCCAGAAATGTATCTTGACTTTGCCGTAAGGCATAACATATTGCGAAACATTTTTCCTCTTGTCACAAAGAGGATAGTGTTAGTTTCGAGGTGTCTTGTGATGAGCGTTTCATGATTAAATGCAAAATCACTTGAGCAGATACCATCCAAAAACATCTGGCATTCAACACGTCATATAAGACATACATCGATATATATGGTATTGTTTTTTTACAATAATAGAGAAATACGACGTCATATCAGCGCTACAGCAAATCGTGAAGAACAAAATGCTCTCAAGTTTTGAGCAACACATTTTAAATGATCAGTTTTTTAGGACGGTGGTGAATTAAACCATTCAAGGGGTTATATAGAAAGATTCTTCACGTGTAGTTCAGGCAATTTTAATTATTCTGAATAGCGGATGGTCATTAATACTGATAGCGGATAGTCATTCATCAACGTGTTCATATTTAATTTTGTTATTTTATTTCAATTTGAGTAACACGCAAATCTAGCGTTCTTGTTAATTGAATGACTAAAATGCATATACGACCTGAAAGCCCGTGTCTAAATCTACAAAATAATGTTTACTTTATTTGGATTAAATAACATATTGATGAAACCTCAAAGCATCAACAGACGGCCTTTTTAGCATTATTTTCGCTGTTTGCAACGTAAATGTACATGAGATATGGGACATAGTATGTCTGTATAACCAGCTTACTTTCTCGCTCCTTGTACTATTGAACAATTTACATTCCTTGTACCCTGTATTGATCAACTTTTGCAACTGTGTACCGTGTACTAAGACATATCAAATATTTTAAAATTTAAAACGATATTATTTACATTCTTTCTTCAACTATCATATAACTTGGAACATGGACTTCACTATTACACCACTGAAGTTCAGCGAATAGCAATATTGATTCACTCCGAGGGTAGTGTGTGATTATGAATCCGCAAAGATGTTTGCACGAATGCGTAGCATGACTGCTAAGTTTAGGAATAGGCTACGCCCGAGGCATTACTTTTGTTTATTTCGGGAAACAATTTTACTCAGAAAGTAAATTAATTTTATGGCTGGTAATGTTTTTACTGGCTGCTAATGTGACTTTTTAAATTTTCATTATCCTTTTTTAAATACTTTCTATCCTATGACTCGTTGATGAAATCCCGGGAAACCAGGAAAACTTTCCAGGCAGTGAGCTCAGCTGTATGCAAATAGCATATACATTACTTGGCATCGAAGTATATAACCAGCTAGCCCTTTATAATGTATAGTACAAAACACAACATGAACATACATGTACCAAGCCGGTTAAACATCTATACATCTTGTAATGACTTGGGCTGCATTTTCGTATGCAGAGGACGCAATAATTAATTCGCTCGCGTAGCACTTAATGCACAGTCTTGCCAGCAGGTATCACGAAAAATTCATCGATTCATCGGCCGGCGCCTGGACGATTGAGTATTTTGTTCAAAATTGTACATTATGCTGTAAGTCAAAAATTCAAATAAATGGTCGTAAGTGGGACCCTGAGTAAATGGAAGTCGAATTATCACGGTAGCTGACTGCACAGAGCGAAACAATTGGTCAACTGTGTAAAGCCACTTTTACAGGATCAATTTAAATATTCACTCATAAGGTCATCCAAGTCGAAACGCATGCGCAGTATCGAAACTTTTCAGGGCACTTCAACTACTTTAGACTGTATACGACCCACTACCATTTCATTTTCCATACTTTAATTTAGGAACGGGCATATAGGAACTGATATCATAAAAACAAAGTAAGTTCACTGTTCTGTTAAAATACCATATAACTATTAGATTATGTATGTTCAGAAATTTTAAGGTAACGCTAAAGTAAATCAAAAGTACAAAAACATGGCAGCCATATTTTTTTGATAAAGTCACAAGATTTTGTATTTCTGTTTTCCTCATAGTGAATGCACTGACTGACTAAAGATACATGTCAAAGAAAACTTCACATTTAAACACAATTTTTATAACTATGAATTGGAGGTGCATGGGTCCCTAAAGCTAGCATAGAGACAGTGAAGTGAGGATAACTTTTTCAAATTTCAAGGAGTAGGATTGCAACGGAGACACATTTGAAAGACTCCAAAATTTTCACAAATGATCTTACCTTACCAACGAACATCGAAGGAGCGTGAAAATGTGTACTTCTTGCATTGTTAGAGAATAATAAAGCTCAAACCATTGTGAATTCTAAATATTTTATGTCCACCATTTTGTTTGCTTGGACTATTTTTAAGTCCAGAGTAATCTTCATTCAAGTATGTTTATAATTTATAAAGTCTGAATTATCTATCATGATAAATATATGTAATAGATAAAATATACTAGTGATAAGCCATGTCACTTGATGAAGTCACAAAACTTGTATGAGGATTAATCAGAAAGTGTAGAAGTAGGTCCAGCAAACAAAATGGTGGACATGAAATATTTATAAGAAACTATGGTTTTAGCTTTATTATACTCTAACAATGCAAAAATGGACATTTTCATGCTCCTTCGATGTTCCTTGGTAAGGTAAGATGATTTGTGGAAATTTTGGATTCTTGCAAATGTTTGACTGTTGCAAGGCTACTCCTTGAAACTTTCAAAAATTAGCCTCACTTCACGGTCTCCATGCTAGCTTAAGGGACCCATATACCTCCAATTCATAGTTATGAAAAATATGTTTAAATATGATTTCTTTGACATATCTCTTTAGTTAGGAAATGTATTCACATACAAGGAAAACAGATACAAAATCTTGTGACTCTTAATCAAAAAATATGGCTGCCATTTTTTTGTACTTTTGATTAACTTTACTGTTACCTTAAGTATAGAGCGAAAGATTGATGGTGCCATTTCATCCCTCATGATATGTACTCATTGAGACTAAAACATACACTAAGTGCTCACAGTTTGAGTGTGCTCATTAAGTATAAAACTAAAACATGCACTAATCAGTCGTCATAGTGGGAGTGCTCATTGAGTAATGAGAAAAATTAGTGTTTTTTTATCATTCATCATAGGAATATCTCTTTAATACTAAAACATGCAATAAATCATGTCATCTGTGCTCATTTAGTGCTAATATTTACTGAAATGAGTACTCAATTAGTGCTAAAATGCCATGAGTACTATCTTAGTACTCGGCATATCTGCCTGTGTAGTTCAAATTATCTGTGCATTGTAGAAATGGACAATTAAAATTCCTTATAAGGTCATTTAAGTTGAAAGAGGGTGACGAGAGAAGCCAGGACACAACTTTTGCCTTTCAAAAGAGTTCATATTAAATGAAAACTGTTTTAAAACAAAAGCGATCAATAAACTGGCACGCCATTTGGCACAACTTTGTAAATGTAACGTACCATTGTATAAACAAAATAAGTAGGTTTTCCGGTTCGACAGCGAACTGATGCAGTTTGATTAGGTTAATTATTAGGGAGTATTTCAATGTCATATGTGATATTGAACAAATATTTCACTCTATTGAGGTGAATACCTGTACATCTTTCACAAGTGATATTCCACGAAGCCCGAAGGGCAAGTGGAATATCACCTTGTGAAAGTGCTACAGGTATTCACCGAAAATAGAGTGAAATATTTGTTTTATTATATCACTGTCTAGCTAAACATCCCTAATATTATTAAGTCATAGGTTAACATTGAAATACATTGAATCTACTCGGTTCGTCTGCCATTTTGACTTACACTGAACTAAATTATTTACCCTGAACGAAAACAAATTCTTTGAAAATTCCCGGGAGCGTGGGATATCGCTAGATATCTCACGGTTGTCTTATCTGATTAGCATTGCCATTGAATATCACCAGATATCCCACGACATGTGACCCGGTTTTGACCAATCATACTGTCGCTAGCTAGATAGTGATATAATAATGTTTAATCTTACTGTAGGAAAATGTTGAGTTGAACTGCTTCTTACAATTAAGGAATTTTGTAAAAAAAAACTTTGTAATGCCTGGGGCACATTTGCCTCGCCTCGTCGGCCGGCATCCGGCCGATTGAGTATCTGTTCAAAATTGTACTCAGTTTTGAACAAAATACTCAATGGGCCGGGCGCCGTTGCGAAAATCGGAGCAAATGTGACCAAGGCATAGCGAAAATTGTTACAGAAGCATGATACTCCATTCACGGAACAGTTTAATGGTTTGACTTAGCAAGAGAAGATATTTTGACGGTAGGTTATTTTTAGTGATATGCATAAATTGGAACATGATTTAGATGGAGACCTTGTAATTCACAGTCCACACCCCTCTCCGTATGATATGGTCCGTTCGTGTGCTAGAATACGATCCCTTCGTGAGACAAAGAGGCCAAAATTGATAAAATGTCAGGAAAAGGTAGGAAACGGAGCGAATTTTGATATTTTGTAAATGGTTAACTATAGGCGATATAGTTACCAAAAAAACAAGGCTTCATTGGTGAAAACAGGTCGAACATAGACTTTTCACGAAAGAATACACTTCAATTGCAATAATTCTTTTAAATTACGGTATGCATATCTAATTTCGTGCAATTTATAAATGCATTAAAGCGTGCCACTGAAAAACAAACGTAACGTAATACATCACAAAAGTACATGCAAATTTGGTTTAAAACTCGAATAGAAGGATCCTAAGCTAGGATCCAACCAAGTCGTGTGAGAATAATTTGGGGACTCCGACCATGTCCTGTTAATAGTTCCATCTTTTCGTGTTCTTTCCAAATACTGGTTAAATCAAGCGCACGACTTATTAATTCACCAGTGCTAAGATTGATCTCTGAATGGAATATGTTATCTACACAAGAGATCTACTCCCACCATCTCTATGTTCAAATGTAAAATCAAAAACAAATCTTCAAAGTTTAATGACTTCAATACAACTTCTAAACTCAATCTTTCTCGAAAACAAGAAATTACCTTAAACAGAATTAGATGCGGACTCTATTTTGAATCACATAAGTTCACGTTCTCTTGAAAACTTAAGTGCGCACTACATAATATATACACTAGGTTAAGTGTGTGATACAGGGAGGTGGGAGGGAAGTCAAAATAAAACTTGTCACTGTACCTTCCTAGACCTCCTTCTTGGTGGAAAGTTTAGAATAAAAGAAATTGCATGTGAAGTCACATGTATGTGACCAAAAACCAAATGAGAGGATTGATCATTTTCTAAAATCCCCAATTATGTAGACAGGAAAATTCCCTGAGGCAATTGAAACAATAAAGTACATTATATTGCTTCTAATGTTTATTAATTTGATTTATGTATACACATTGCGCTAGGCAGCGACCTGTGTAACGTTTTTACTGCAACATAATTGAAATGTATAATGAACTGAAAACAATCTTATCGTGTGAAAAAATTCGACCAATTTGTGTTTTACCAAAAATATATATTCAAATTGGCATGCATATATACGATTATTGTATCATATAATTTATTTTTGTATATGCGATCCGTTTCAAAATGAACTGGTCTGTTTGGACGATTGGATAATTCATGAGAATAAGTGGACTTTTGGGTGTGGATGTCGATGGTAGTTCATTTTTATTTTCGTCTAAATAATTGTCTTCTTGAAAGCTTGAATCTGGTACCAGGTATTCTGTATAGGCACTTTTACCGACATTTAGAAAAGATAAACAACCATAATATACTGATTACATATACCGCTATTGAGCTTGAATACACTGCCTCTAGTGTAATAGATATATTAACTCCCGATATTTCTAGCACCTTTGAGTTATTGGTTCAGAACACGAAAATATGGAGCTGAAAACACGGTAGGGTCGAAAATGAAACACGGTAGGATCGGAAGAGAAACGCGCGTGGGTCTGATCCATTCTCAAAATTTAACCTGCAGAGTTGGATCCTCTTCTAATTTGCTTTTGATCATTTTAAAATCAGTATATACTAAGAAACATTCAATTGGCGTGATTTCATCGATCATTATATACAAAGGCTTCATTTGATTTACATAATATACCACAATGTGGTATATTTGACACGTAAATGACGATAAGGAAGCAGAAACTCACTCTCTCAGCATGTATGTCGTCACCACAAATAAATCGAATGTTTTTGAGCATTCAAATACTTAGACAACTTTTTTTCAGTTTAATATTCATATATTTATCAATTTAAATCGCTCAGTATGAATGTAAAATCAAAGAATACTCTAATAATGCAACTCACCTCCGAATTTCCTCCCTATAGAGGCGGTATGGTCGGATCTTGTGCACACGAACGGACCATATCATACGGAGCGGGATGTGGACCGTGTAATTGCTCACCAAACATTGCTAAATGCTTCAGATGCAGTCTCTGGCTATAATATGTCTAGGAGTTGCAGCTGTATGTCTCTGTACTGCTCAAGAAGGACCGTCCCCCTATAATATGTTGTCGGAGGATAGGTATAGGTATGCGTATACTCAATATTTTTCAGCTTAATACTTATACTTTTATCAAAAATTTATTATTCTTATTTAGATATTTGACGTGAAATATATATACGGTATATGTATTTATTAATATCATTAAAACCAAATTGTCGTATGACAATAATGAAGTCCCAAGTGCCATTTTTGAAAAAAATTAGAACTTCACATATTTTCACTTTTTAAATCATCCTCTTTCTTACTGTGATATTCCCTTACACCCTTATCTCTTCTCAATAGCCTGCTTTTCAGTGTCAAATTGTCGAAAAAAATTCAAAATACAATTTAACTTTGTTCTATGTATCACTTTAACCAATCAAATTGTTTGAATAACACCATGTGGCTAAGAATTATAACAGTAAAATTTTTAATGTTTTGGAACTACTTGGAATTTAAAAATAAATAATCAATTAATGACTATATATTGCAACAGTGTATGAAAAAACAAAACATGTTTAAGTCCCAACTTTTGTATATTTCATAGAGTTATATATGAAGGGCATTTGAAAAATTCGCTTTTCTTTGCTCTAAAAATACCTGTCCAGGAATGATCAGAACAAGACAAAATTTGCAGGATGTATAGTTTGATTATTTATTATTAAGGTGCCCTAGAAGGAAATGACGAAACAGGAAGTGACAATTTTTTTTGCATTTTTAGACATTTTTTGAACAAAGATAACACAGTTCTGGTTTGACCTACGTCAATTTAACTATTTCCACATATCATTTACATGACCAGGATCACAATGTCCATGGTCAGAATGACCCTAAACATGATGAAATAACCATTTTAGCCCTTTGAAAGTGTGACTGAAAAAAAGCTAAAAGTAGGAGCTAGGGAAGGTCAATGAACAGAATATTTTGAATTATTCAGAAAATGTGCCCAACATAATGCTCTAATTGGTACAATGTTTGAAATTTTAGAAAATTGTCTTAAACAAAAATGGCGACCACTTCCTGTTTTGTCATTTTCCTGTTAACTTCCATAGCACCTTAAGCTGTGAAAATTATACCGTGTAATATATTATTATTTTGAATGAGGATACTTTTACGTCAGAATTAATGTATCCAACCATAATGTGTAGTCCATGCACCTATCTTATCATTGTTGGGGATCCACTTATTAGCAGTTACCTTTTTCAGATTGAGCTTTGCTTTAGTAGGATTCTTTCTCCATTCAACTGCATCTTGCCCCTAGTCTCATTGATTGAAGAACGACTGTCCTGTTCCATTATTGTCTTCACTGAGTCAATGTTTCCTTTCAATATCGCTGTCCTTTTTCGCCCACTTCTTTGCTTATCTTCGATTGTTGAGATGCCTTTATTGAACTTGTTGAACCAGCTTCTTATTAGATAGGAACAACAATTGTGCCTTCATATGTTGCTTTACATGTTCTTACCATACCTGCCAACCTAAGACCAAAAATTTGCGGTAGTTTTTTTGAATTGCGGTATTTTTGCGATAGAATTTTTCAAAATGCAGTAGTTTCTGCAGTATTTTTCGACAAAAATGCGGTAGTTTTACGGTAGATTTGGAAAAATTCGGTGGTTTTTGCGGTCGATTTTTGAAAAAACTGTAGTTTGCGGAAGATTTTGTAAAATGCGGTAGTTTCCAGTAGATTTTGAAAAAATACGTTCGTTTATGCGGTAGATTTTAGAAAAAAACGGTTGATTTGCGGAAGATTTTGAAAAATACAATTGTTTCACGGTAGATTTTGAAAAAATACGGAAGATTTTTGAAAAAATGTTCTTTTCGGAAGTTTTTGAAAAATGCGGTAGTTTTACGGTAGATTAAAAAATGCGGTAGTTTTCGCGGAACATTTTGAAAAAATGCGGTAGTTTTTGCGGTAGAATATAAAACTGATTTTGCGTAGATTTTGACACACTTCAATGAATAAATAATAAAGTATGTTTTTCTAACTCAGTATTAATGGAACTCTTTCATAAACAGACTAACAATTTGAACATGTCAGTGTTTTTATAACTACAGTAGAACATGTGGTAGTTCAACACTGTGTTTTTGCATCACGATACTCCCAGTGTGTTGACTGATTACATGCCAGCTTACTTAGTTACCTACTAAGTACGCAATAACCACTGTCGACAGACCTGCTAACACCTATTTATTTCCGTTCTTATAGAAAAAATCAAATAATAATAAAATAGTTTACGGTAGATTTCGGTAAAATTACGGTAGATTTTTTACGGTCGTTTTAACGGGAAAAAATGTATTTTGTCATTTTTTACGGAAAACGAATATTTTTACGGCAGATTCCCGTAAAAAAGTTAAAATACGATAGGTTGGCAGGTATGCTTATAGTGTTCTTTAAGTCTTAAATAATTCAAAGTCTCTGCTCTTTGATAAGTTTATTCACCATTTTGCTCCACTGTCTGGAAACACCTGCTCCACCGAAAGTTTAGTGAAGAGAGTGAGCCTATTTTGACGAAGGGTTATGACATCACACTGACAGCAGAATGAGTTCATTCAAATATAGACACTATTACATCACTAGCTTGTTACAATGGCCACACATTTTAAACATATAACTGTCATTGGTGCTCCACGGAACCAAGTCTCGTTGTTGCCATGGGATAGCTAAACTAAAAACAAAATAAAATATACAAAAGTTAGGACATGTATAAATGTTTCTAATTTTACATACCAGTATAATGTTTCAATATGGTCCTTTGATAGATTTTTTTAGATTTAAAGTAGTTCCAAACATTTCACTGTATATTATAATTTTAAAGTGAGTTTTAAATTTATTTTTAAAAAAGCGAAATTTGTGTCCATTGAAAATACATAGCAAAATGGACATTGCCCAGCTTTTATCTTTCGATGTTAGGAAAAACTCGGAATTGAATTGTCCTATCTCCGTTTTTGATATGCTCAAAAATTGGCTGAGAAAATCTTAAAATTCATGAACTATTTACTAGTGTATACACATAGATTTATGATAAAAAGAATCTAAAAATTTCACAAATGACAGATGATAGTATTGAAGTTACAGATGCCCAAACTTTCAAAAATTGATTTCTCAGTTTCCCAAAAATGTGAGTTGGGTCATTATTATTCTCTTATGGCGATGGTTTGTGGCCACGATACCTATATGGATGTGTAATTGACCACATTTAAAATAGTAAAAAAATATTTATGAGTGCTCGGAACTTTAACCAATCACGCGGTACCACTTATACGGGACGTAAAACCCCCGGGTAAAACCGTTAATTTAAATTTTAAACCTACCAGGTGTTTGAAAATCAAGAATTGTGAGTCTCATACTGCAACGTTTTTATATCACCGCCAAAAAATGGTGACAAACTGTTATAGTTTCCGTTTTTTTGACGGTGGTTGTGGTTGTGTTATTTCACAGAATTGATAAACTTGTTCAAAATGGCAAGATTTTGGGGTATCTGTTATTTCTCTAGCTTGAGTCATATTGGACTCAATTGGTGCAAGGCCCCCATAGGGACCTTGCGTTTTCGTACTGAGGTTTGTTTTGGAGTTTTTTCCAATTTTTCTATGTATTTCAAGACATTTTAGAGACAGGGCCCTTTTTATAAAGCCCTTTTTAGAAAAATAATTTAGATTACAGAGGATACCCATTATGTCTGTTTTTATTTATAAACAATGTAAATAGAAAATTAAAATTTCAAACTCCTTATCTCAATATAATTTATCAATGGAAAATGGGAGTTGAGCAACCAAACTTGGCACAAAGTTGGACCCTGGAATGAGCTCTTATCTTAGGGGTTTGATTTTTGTGATATAATATATTTGCCTAGAAACCACATAGCAACCACCTAAAATAACATATTTACAATATAAATCCACTTAATATATTCTAAGATGCCATAAGACCATTACAACAAGTCATCTTATCCTAAAATACAACAATTCAAACATATTTACAAAAGTGACATTACCATGTTGCATAGCAACAACATGGCAACAACAGGTTACAATGCGCACCATATTTCTATTATTTGCTCACTTGTATTCTTTTGGATCCCCTCCACATTATTTCTCAACATATAGCAATTGTATTTAAGCATAATTGATGCAGTTATGTCTGACCATTTTCCCTAGCAACTACCTAGCAACGACCTAGCAACAGCTTAAAATAGCAATGTTTCTCATGAAAATATCAGTATATATCCACTATATGTACTTGAAGAAAATCAATATATCGGGTGTCCCCAAAAAATATCACCTCCAATGAATTTGAGAATGAATTGGATTTTGGATATTTGGGATGAATGAAAAGAATTTATCAGACATCACTCGACTCCCATCGAACGCAGTGAAGACCAAGCGTGCGTAGATGATAGCTGGTACAAAGACTATAGAAGTATCATATCAGAACTCCGATATGGGAATATTTGACATGCTATTTTTAATTTGTTAGTTCTCACAGAATATTCATTTTTTATATTTTTACAACTTGTTAATAATACGCTTAGGCTACTTCATGCAAATTTTCATTGAATTTAATTAATCAGTTGCTGAGAAAATACTTGTCAAAAAGTGGCTCATTTTTTGGGACATCTGATATATATAATAAATGTCTTTTAATTTATAAATCTTTATAGCCGCATACTTAAAAATCCGTAGTCTCTTGTGTAAAGCACGATAGGGCATTTCTTGTCTTATGTATATCAAATTGCAAAAGTCCTGCAATTTATGTTTCAGTTCTGAGATGAAGTAAACACAAAATATTTCTGTATTGATCCTTGTTACATTTTTCAGCATTGATTCCCCTAAGATAATAATTTTTTTGTGGTTAATTGCTACAATTTCCTTTGCAGTTGCATTAGTTACGGTGCAGTAGAATGCACCATGGCATTTGCAGTTCTCTTTGCAGTCACTTTTGGTGCATACACATTTAATAATGACTTTACATGCCTCGGATGCTTGCGGTAGTATTGTCCATCTGGCCACCCACAATCCTGATGCACTCCTAAACCATCCTCATAGACTTGAAGAACGAAGATTGGATCCACCATTGCCCCCAAGTGTTATATTTGCCTTTTGAAAATGCTACATAGATCTCAATCTGTAGCTCAGAGGCACATGCTAAGGCTATCGCAACAACACTACTGTCCACTGATCTTACAATAAATACCTTGCACCTTTTCCGACATCATAAGACACATGCAAAAAATACGTGTATCTGCCTCTTCCTTGGAGAGTACATCAGTAATCCTGCTTATTATGACATATCCTCTAAGAGTCCCTGCTCCTAGAAAGATGCAGATACACGTATGTTTTTACATGTGTCTAATGGTGTTAGAATAGGGTGCAGGAAATTTATGATAAAATCAGTGGACGCTGATGTCCTTGTGATAGCCCTAGCCTGTGCCTCTGAGCTAAAGATTGATATCTATGGAGCATTTTCAAAAGGCAAAAGTAACGCTACATTCAAGTTCATGAGATTGCTAGAGCATAAGGACCACTTGTGACTAGGATCACAAGACGTGCGCTGCCAACGTTCCACTGGAACTGATACCACATCTGGATTTTACCATCATAGCAATAGAACTTGTGTAATGATATTTTGACTCTAGCAGATTGCCCATCAACCATAACAACCGAAGTTATGGTCACAATTAGAATTTCATTATAGGGTGGGCCAAAAAACGCCACTTTTTTCAAAATGATATAACTTTTTTAATTTTTGATACAAAATCATTTGCATACCAAATGAAACTTCAGGTTTTTATCTACCCGTGGATCATGAATTATACACTTTTACCTGAATAAAATATGTTACCAGCGTCTCACTTAAACATGTGGTGTGCCATGAGGAATAAGCATAATTTGCAAAATGTTCCTGAACTGATACGGCCTGGTGATCGCCAAGCTAATAGCCCTGATGCAAACCCCAGTGAGTAGAGGGTATTGGAAGGTCTCCAGGAGATTGTATGAAGGCACCCAATCTAGAAAATTGCTCTACTAAAGCTGGCAATTAAGACAGATTGAAAAAAAACTTAGTTAACATTTCATTGATACTGCTGTATCAGCAAGGAGACCAAAACTAAAATATATCATTAAATAGGGTGACGGACCAATTGAACTCCTCTTTTAGATCAAATATAATTCAAGTTGAAGGACTTGTTACATTATTTTATAACTAAGAACTCCTGGCACTATATAACTGCAAAATTTGGGGTATGTAGGTTGAAAAATGAAAAAGTTGTAGTGTCTTGAAAAATAGTGGCGTTTTTTTGGCCCAACCTGTACTGGTTTACCAGGCTACAAACAGTGAGACAAAAACTTTCGATTCAGCACTCTATCTTGTCATGCGAATAACTTTCCAAGGAGCACGTGTATGGGGGCAATGGTATAAAGTGGATCCAGTTCTTCCTTCACCAAGTATATTGGGATGGTTTAGGAGTGCATCAGGATTGTGGGTGTCCAGATGGACAATACTGCCCAAGCATCCAAGGCAGGCATGTAGTCAAAATAAAATGTGGATGCACCAAAAGTACCTGATAAGGGAACTGCAAATGCCGTGGTGCATTCTACTGCACCGAACTATGCATCTGCAAAGGAAATTGAAGCAAAACACCAAAATAAAGTATTATCTTAGTGGTATCAATATGATGAATATTGCTCTGTTAAGAAATAAATTAAGTGGAGGGGATCCAAAAGCATACCAGTGAGCATATAATGGAAATATGATCTCCAAATGTCAAAATGGGCATTGTAACCTGCTGCCATGTTGTTGCTATGCAACATGATGATGTCACTACTGCAAATATGTTAACGTTTGAATTGTTGTATTTCAGGATAAGAAGATTTTTCGTAATGGTCTTATAGCATCCTAGCGTATATTAGTGGATTTATATGGTAAAATATGTTATTTTAGGTGGTTGCTATGCGGTTGCTAGGCCAATATATGATATCACAAAAAATCAAACCCCTAATATAAGATTAGAGCTCATCCCAGGGTCCAACTTTGCGCCAAGTTTGGTTGCTCAACTCCCATTCTCCATTATGGTAAATTGTAGTGAGAAATAACAGGTATCCTCTGTAATCTCAATTATTTTTCTAAAAAGGGCTCTAGAAAAATGGCCCTGTCTGATAAAACATACATAAAACTATAAAATAAAACTCAAAAACAAACTTTAGTATGAAAACTCAAGATCATTCACCAATTTGATTCCACTTTAACAGAATAAATGGCACTTTTACATGTTACAGTTGATTTTTCAATCAAACGTTCAATTGATTTCAATGCACTTTATTTGCATCTAAAATTGCCTTTTGAAAAAAGCATAAAAAATGTCCCCTGGGTAACGTTGACCTCGACTTGACCTATTCGTTGACCTACTTGTCAGCCATGTGAGAGTAATTTTAATTTTTATCGTACCTAACAAAAGGTACGATATTGTAGTCAGCTTGACGGGCGGGCGGGCGGAAGGGCGGAAGGGCGGGCGGCGTCTCACTTTTCAGCTTGTCTACAGGTTTCCAGCCAAACCATTTGAGGGATTCATCTGAAATTTTCAGGGATGTTTTTCTACATATCAACGTCAAGAACTGATTAGTTTTTGGGCATTCTGGGTAAATCTTAAGGTGGCCATTTTGGATTTTCCGTCCTAAAATCTTCACTTTCAAGACTTGTCTACAGGTTTCCAGCCAAACCATTTGAGGGATTCATCTGAAATTTTCAGGGATGTTTCTACATATCAACGTCAAGAACTGATTAATTTTTAGGCATTCTGGATGAATCTTAAGGTGGCCATTTTGGATTTTCCGTCCTAAAATTTTCACTTCAAGATTGTCTACAGGTTTCCAGCCAAACCATTTGAGGGATTCATCTGAAATTTTCAGGAATGTTTCTACATATCAACGTCAAGAACTGATTAGTTTTTGGGCATTCTGGGTAAATTTTAAGGTGGCCATTTTGGATTTTCCGTCCTAAAATCTTCACTTTCAAGACTTGTCTACAGGTTTCCAGCCAAACCGTTCAAATTTTTACATATGTTACACAGTGATAACTTCTAGAGCTGATTAACTTTTCTGCGGCCATCTTGCTTTCTTGGTCAACAAGACCACAATGCTGTGTTTTAGGTACGATATTGTTCACGTCTGTGCCTTGTTTAATTTGTGATGGAACTTTGTAAACGGTGATATGTTACTTTTATATTACAGGGAATTATCGAAGACAGCAGTTGTACTTATAGAGAACTTACCTTTTGATATCACTGAAAATGCTCTTCGTAAATTACTGTCACCACTTGGGGAAACGATAACGTCAGTGAAGATATTTGGGTCAGATAGGTATCAGACTGAGAAGTTTGCTGTGGTTAAATACAGTGACATAAGAGACACACTGAGAGCTGTTGATACGTTTGATAGAGTGGCATATAGGGATCGAACACTTTACTTTTCCCTCTCGCATGAAAAACCTCAAATTGAAGATCCTGAACCCAAAAAGGATAATGCAGGGTCAACCACGTAAGAATAGTTTTAATTTTTGATTTTTGATTCATTGAATAGATGAAAACGAATGAACTAACAATACCTAATACTTAATTTTTAAAGAGTGGTGTGTGTTCTTTTATGTTACAGGGCGAATGAGATACGAATAGAGAACTTAAGTATTGACGTCGATAAATCTCTTTATGTACGACTTAGTAGCTATGGCAGGATAACGGGAGTCCAAATTGGTTTTGACAAAAATACCGGGTCTAAGTATGGAATATTTCGATTTAGTAATAGCCAAGAGGCAGCAAGTGCCGTTACTCACCTTAATGGCCAGGACTTTATGGGTAAACGTATGCGCGTATTCCTCGTAGGGGAAGACCCATAGCGTCCTAGATCAGGACGTCCTCTAAGCTAAGGTAGAAGATATTAAAGGAAGTCGTTTTGGAAATAGTGGAAATACAACTGTTATGGTCATATATTGGACTAACAAGAAATCATGTAAGCATTTCTTCTTTCTAAAAACAAAACAGACGATAACATAAAAAATAACAACATCATTAAGAGTTTATTGATTATATGCAAATTGGAATATACAATTATATAGATTATACAAATTAGAAATTACTTTCCCAGGGGGTGGACACTCTAGAATATTTTTGTACGCAAAACACGTAGGTGTCATTGACGTAGCGCCTGTTACGCACAGTACGCCCGTGCGTAGCAAATGAATTTGGAAAAAAATAAAGTGTTAAAATGCATTAATTTGTGTGCAAATTTATTGATGATTCTGTATTTGTATATTTAACCATTACGTTTTATCAGAATAGAACCATTATATCTCAAGTTGACGCTCAGATTGTACCAAATAATGTCTTTGGAAAATAATTTCCCAAGGGAGCATAACCCCGGATCCCTCCCCCCTCAAACTCAAAATATAGCCCTACGCTCATGGGTGTAATCCCAATTTCGATCAAATTGGGTCGTGAATCGCCAAAATATAGCTTCTTCCCAATGGCAACGGAATCCGAATTTGAAATAATTTACAAAGACAACGGCATATGGTAATACCGTGTCCGATGTCCCGTACCTCATTTTATTCGGTTAAATTAAAGACTTCATTTCGAACATTGATAACTGTACAATTTGATTAATTGTTGTTCCAAATGAATTTAGTCTCTATTAAACATACAGTTAATGAAAATCTAATTGCAGCGACGGTTATGTCCGCCATTTGTGACAACGGTATCTTACTTTACCGTTGTCGGGTTATTCCGGTGTGAGTCTGTGAGTAGTTTTTTGAACGTTTTGCCGTATTTTCTCACCTTGCAATACGTTTGTCATGTTCTCACTAAATCGCGAGCGCATGGAATTTAATAAATTGACAGCAATTCATCTAGTTTTCCAGAATGTGATTAACCAAAGAAATATTTTGATTTTGAAATCAATCTATTGTTAACCCTTTAGCTTTTGTTGTCAGTTTGTAAAAACCGAGGGATTCCCCGATCTACTCGGAACATGATGACCTCATTGAAAGGTGGGGCAATATAAAACGGCAGCGTCAAACACGTGACTTTTTTACGGACGATTTCAGAAAAACGGGAGTTTTTGCGGTAGGTTTTGAAAAAACAGGAGTTTTTACGGTAGGTTTTGAAGAAAAGTGAGTTCTTACGGTATATTTCTGAAAAACTGGAGTTTTTATGGTAGATTTTGAAAAAACGGGAGTTTTTACTGTAGATTTCATATGTAGAATGTCTGTATGTGGCTTTAAGGTTGACAACTTGTTCATCCATAAAATCCTGTTCCATATCTACTCCATACTGAATCACTAAAACAAAAATTGTTTATTTCATATAATTATTTTAACTGATGTAGTTCAAATTGTCAAACTCTGGGATGATTTATATTTCAAACTGTCTATATTATTAATATGATCTGTTTAGATTATAGATACAACATTTTACTTTGGAAACGAATTTTTTTTTGTTTCCATATAACCTGACTGTTAATTTAATAAATGCTATATTGTATGTTAAACATGAAACTTATACACCCCTCGGGGTGTCTGTTCATGTCAATGTAAAATACTGTATTTGAAACATTTGAAATAAAGTGAATTGAATTGAATTGAAAAAAGAAAGAAAAAAAATTGATCAAAGCCGAGTAAAATGTATATGTGGCGTTCACTATATGCTAAGGGCAATCTACATGAGGTTCCATTTTTAGGTTCGGTTTTTCGCGCATGACTATGAGCATTAAATCCAGCGATTTAATTTGTTGAAATTACGTTTTTTCCAAATAGTTTTCTTGATTGAATAAACTCTTTGTAAAATGGCAATCAGCAGGTGTAAGTGTCTTTGGGTGGCTATTTTTCTTTAAATTCTTCAATTTTTCTAATAGTCTCTCTGACATCACAATAGACAAGTGACACGATAAGTTCTTTTGTGATGTATACTGTCCAAAACCCACCACTCTGGTTACCATAGCAACCATATCTCAAGAACCAATCAAAATTGAGGTCCCAAATTTTACCATATAATGTATAAATATTGTGGGAAATTTAGAAATTCCCCACTTTTTGTTATTTTTAAGGCCATTTTTATTCATAATTAACACTTCATGTGCTGCTAGTAAGTTAAGGAGTAAACTAAGAGTAAGTGCAAATCTCAAAGAGTAACTTAGGAGTAACCATAAACTCAAGGAGTAAGTTGGGAGTAAGAGTAAGAGTAACCTTACTCTTTGCTTGTGCAGGAACCCTTGTCCTAGAATTGGTCAACCCATAGGAGAAATATGCCACATGGTTATGAGTCACCAGGAATTAGAGGTTACTTGATTGACATTGCTATGGTGATTTCCCACAATGCATCACCAAATGCAGTAAACACACCAGCTTAGTCAAGATGTAGCCAATCAGATCGCTTCCCTATGCATCTCATTAGTGGGTTGAGATAGCACATGATCTGATCACCTGATGTTAGTCTAGCTTATGAAGTTGAAGTGTAAGGACCTGTGGTGTCATTTTACAGAAGCTGGCTCAAGAAGTTGATGGAAGATTGTGATTTTCCTGGTGGAATTGATGTCAATTCAAGGAGTGTTGAACTCTCAAAAGGAGGATAGAGTTTAACCAAGTGACGGACGGAGTTTATTGGATTATTTCACACTGTTTGTGGCTGAAACAGACAGTGACACGTGGATATTTAGCCATTTGGCCAGAGATGTTATTGGCGTCCAGGGAGAGCTGCTAGGGAGATTGCAGTCTAGAGGCGCTTAGAGGACGTTTGTCAGAGTTTGTGAGTGTTAATCTAGTTTTATAATTCCTTTTTGTGATAGAATTGAAAGGTTTTAACTTGATTCTTTGTAATTCAGCGTTGATGTTGGCGGTTGCATCATACAGTTCCCACAATCCCTTGAAAGCCCGCCATCTTGGATGACTTCCGGTCCACGTGTAATTCCGCCATCTTGGATGACTTCCGGTTCATGTGTGGCTCAAGTCTAATCTCAGAATTTGATTGACATTCTTGAGTCTCACCAAGAGCAAGTCTATTTGTGGGGTAGCAGATTTATTTCCATGTGACTGGTAATTTGGGTCTAATCTCATAATTTGATTGATATTCCCGAATTACTCGTCTGGAGGAGTGTTTTTGGAACAACAGGAATTCCGACTGAGGTGATTCCTTTATTTCCTTTGAGGGCTGATAGTTGGGTCTAATCTCAGAATTTGATCGATATTCCCAATCTATTCGCCAAGAGGAGTAAAGAGGAGTAATCCAGAGAAAAGAGGAGTAGCCTGGGCTGAAGAAGAGTAACCCTGAGTAGAGCAGACGAAGGAAGAGTAAATCAGAGTCCTCATCGCAGAGTAGAGGCGAGCGGAGTAAAAAAAGAGTAACCCAGGCTGAAGAAGAGCAGTCCTGAGTAAGCAGAACAGAGTAAAGAGTAGAGCAGGGCGGCGAAGAGTAAAGAAGAGTAACCCAGGCTGAAGAAGAGTAACCCTGAGTAGAGCAGAGCGGCGAAGAGTAAAGAAGAGTAACCCAGGCTGAAGAAGAGTAGAACAGAGTAAAGCAGAGCAGAGCGGAATAAAGAATAACCAGAGCAGAACAGAGTAAAGCAGAGCAGAGCAGATAGGAGTAGAGAGTAACCAGAGCAGAATCCTGAGTAAGCAGGGCAGGTAGGAGTAAAGAGTAAGCAGAGCAGGGCAGATAGGAGTAAAGAGTAAGCAGAGCAGAATCCTGAGTAAGCAGGACAGATAGGAGTAAAGAGTAAGCAGAGCAGAGCAAATAGGAGTAAAGAGTAAGCAGAGCAGAATCCTGAGTAAGCAGGGCAGATAGGAGTAAAGAGTAAGCAGAGCAGATTAAAGAGTAAACAGAGCAGATTAAAGAGTAAGCAGAGCAGAGTAAAGAGTAAGCAGAGCAGAACAGAAAGGAGTAAAGAGTAAACCAGAGCAGAGAGGAGTAAAGAGTAAGCAGAGCAGAACAGAAAGGAGTAAAGAGTAACCCAGGCTGAAGAAGAGTAACCCTGAGTAGAGCAGAGCGGCGAAGAGTAAAGAAGAGTTACCCGGGCTGAAGAAGAGTAATCCTGAGTAACCAGAACCGAGGAGTAAAGAGTAAGCAGAGTAGTGCAGAGTAAAGAGTAAGCAGAGCAGATTGAAGAGTAAGCAGAGCAGAGCGGAATAAAGAGAGCAGAACAGAGTAAACCAGAACAGAAAGGAGTAAAGAGTAAGCAGAGCAGAACAAATGAGTAATAAAGAGTAACGGAGCAGAACAGAAAGGAGTAAAGAGTAACCAGAGCAGAATAAAGAGTAAGCAGAGCAGAACAGAGTGAAACTTAAGCAGATTAAATGTGGGTAGAGAACAGAAGAGTAAAGCAGAGTAATCCCTGAACAGAGTGAAGAAGAGTAAAAGTAGAGCAGAGTGCAAACAAGAGAAGAGCAACAAGACAACTCAGAGTTAATTATTACATGGACATTTGTGTTTTATTTGTTTAATCATAGCGTTAATAAATTATAAAAAACCTATATATTTGAATTTTGTATATAAATGTGTAACCACCTCCCCTTTCAGTGAAAGCAGTACCACCAAACCAGGTCTGCGCCCACATAAGACCAGTGAGAATCCCATAATAAATAAATTGTTCGTGACCGGACCACAACCACACTACCAGATTTTGGCCAGGTCCGACATTGGTGGCAGCGGTGGGATTATTTGCTGACGGGGAACAAAGAGTCGAAAGAAGAAAATGGCTTCTAAACAAGACGAAGGCATTGATGATGTGGTCTCCAAGATGGAAGGAGGAAGACAGGAAGAGGAGTCTGGGTACAACACTGTGTTCTTCAAGGGGGACTATACCCAAGTGGACATGGAGCTAGATGACACAGTGCCAGGGATGTGTGGAGGGGATTCTACAAGACAAGTGGAAGGAAATCCCGAAGGAGCAAGGTCCAAGACGAGTTATATGGTACCGGGAGTAAGGTATGGGATGACGCCATCGAGAGGCTTTCCTTTAACTTCGACTGTGCTGGAGGGAAGATCTCCGGGGGCTACCATGCCAACGGAACAGGAGCTACCGAGTCAGCAACTCCAGATGTCTGTGTTACTAAGTCAGATGAAGGCACAAGCACAGCAAAACAGAACTTTGTATGAAGACTTGAGAAGAGAAGTGTACTCAGGGCAGGAAGACCTTCGAAGAGAACTACATTTGAGTCAAGGAGAGATACAGAAACAGATAGAGAGGCTGAATACAATCCAACAAGAGGCGCAACAAGAGTTCAAGGGCTTCCTGTCGGATATAGTTCAGCGCCTCCCTGCTGCTAAAGATGACAGTCACTTGACTCCTGAGAAATTGGAGAAGAA